GGACGAAAAGTCGCATCCCCTGCCCTCAACGTGGGGCCACTAATGATGTTCTGGTCCTGTGTGGGTTACATTCACTCTCTCACACTCACCCTTCTGCCCGGATTCGTTCGGAGGACTCTGACAATATTTGCACTTTTCCATTTGGCTAAATGCTGTCCTGAGCTGTCCCAGTTGAACCTTAATTGTTCCTTTGTCAACTACTCGGAGTAATTAAAAACACCTTTCAACTGTCGAGCGCTGGAAACTCCAAGTGAAAGATGTCTTGCCAGCTATCTGTTTGATTAGCAAATTTGTCGAATTTGTGGCGAAAATCCATTTATCAATCTGCTAATGATTTTCTCCGCTTGCGCATCTCAAACTGAGAGAAATCTACAGCTGTACTTGGGGACCGACTTTCCAAGATTTCCATAATTTACATATGTGTGTAGTTGCGGTAAACAAAAAAATTAATTAAAACCGCAGAAGGAGCAGCCACAACAGCAGCAATTAATTTTCAATTTGAGTCGCATAAACATTTTAATTGTTTGTCTGCAATTTAGCTGCCACAACACGAGTGAACAAGCAAACATATGTTAGATTCGGGAAGGGGATTTGGCCATAACCATATAAGCCCATATGTATTCTGATTCAGATTAACGCTTCGGGCACGCTCCAGGCTCCGAGATTGGGGGTTTGCTCCATGAATTTCAATTCGCCCTGCCTCTCCCCCACATCCCCAGATCTCGCTGGGCTCATTTATGCCACAAAGCGTAAGCAAACTTTCAAGGCGGCAATAAAATCGCAAGACGCCATGTTTAACTGCCGCACAGCTTCCGAAACCACTAAATTCACATGGCGCACATCCTGCTCACACATTTAGCATGCCATTTGCATATGCGCCTGCCTGAAGGATGGAGCGCGGCTTCCCTGTCATATTTCCATTAGCATTTGCCTTCCAACTCATCATGTGGGTGCGTGTGGCGGCGGATAAGTGTATCATCTTGCCTTGGCGCATTTATTACCCATATTCGAGCATCCGGCTTTTATCCTTTCGTCCCGACGCGCTCAGTAATTGCTGCCTCTGGCGCTTCCTCCATTGTCATGGATGGGCTGCACCGCCGCACACTTGCCAAACTTTGTTATTGCCATTGTTTGGCGGAGTCGCTGGCTGGCGGGGCGTATGGGTAATAGCTGCTAAGTGACAAATTTGCGATATTGGGATCCCAGTTCGAAATTTATATCCCTCATCCTGTGGCAACAAATGAAAATGTACCATCTTCCAAAGCATAAACTTTGCGGAGTATTTCTATTTTATGTTTAGTTGCAGGTACTACAACTTTCTCCGTAAACAAATATTTCTCTAAATAAAAACTAAATGCGGTAATATAAAAAATATCAGAAAATAAAACAGAATTTATCTTAATATTACAAGATTATTGCACAAAATAAATAATAATAATAAGTAATAAATATATAACTTTTTAAGATTTACAAATTAAATTTTAAAAAAAAATATAAAAAAAATTTTTAGACACAATTTTTCCCTTTTTAGAGGCCTGAAAATAAGAATTTGGATTTGACTAGTTGCCATATACCATCTTAATATTAAAAATCCTTTAGGCTGATTTTAAATAAGCTATACAGCTTTAACACCCCGTTCACTTATCACCGAAAATAACTTAACCTCGAAGCCGAGCGAAGTAAACGCAGCCAATGGAGCAGCTTCTGATTGTTGAACTCTTGAACTGTATCGGGACTTAATAGAAACGCAATCAAATAATTGCGCAAAGTGTGCCACAATCAAATATAGCAACAAATTAACCAAACGCCAACACCACCAACAACATTCGAACTGCAAATCGATAAAGGCAGGCGAGGCGGGAAAGGGGAAGAGGAAACCGCAGAGAAAATATTATAGAATTATCCAGTTGGTGGATGGATCGGCAGACGGAAAAGCGATAAGTTTACAATTGCTTATGACTTCAATTAATCTGTGAAAGCGCCTACGCAGGCAGGCCTCCGAAGAGAGGAGGGTCCGAGTGCGAGGCATTCGATGTTTGGATGTCGGTGAGTCCGCAGCACGAAAATGCGAAAAACAAAAAAAAAACCAATCGAACGGGGCAAGAACTGGCTGCGGTCTAAGTCTGGTTCTGGTTATGGTTCTGGGTTGTGGGTCCCAGGTTCGGGCTTGGAGTTCGAATCCCAGACCGCAAGACACAAACACCCAAACGCAGCCGCCGCAAGACAATTGACCTGAAATTTCATTGAAGATGTGCCCGGGGTCTGGCCTCTGAAATCTATACCCGAAACGGCTTAGAAACGGTAAATTGCTTAGTCATCTCCCATCGGTGATTGTGATCACGATCATTATAATTATTTGGCTGTGCCATTATTATCAAAATGGAATCGCATGCATGTCCATGTCCACGTCGCTCCGTGGGTGGGGACCTCGGAAGTTGGAGCTTGAACCCGCACGCATCCCACAGAGCTGGAGCTTAGCCCTATTTCACACACCCTCGAAATCCCGAGGGTTAGCCCCTGGCATCCATGGGAGCGGGCTTGACTTAAGTTTCAAATATTTCTCTGCCATTACTTTGGTAGTCCGATTTACTCTGCTATAATTTTGCAGGTGTTTGAATCCTTTTTCCGCTTCATTTTCAATTTACGCAAATGGACTTCGATTCGCGGCGCTGGGGAAAACGGAAAATGATCTCTGAAAGTGCACACATGAGGCAGCCAGGTGCTCAAATTGCCGCAGGTACAATCCGAAATTCAGCTTCGGCAGGAAGGGGTTAGGCGAGCAAAGTTCATGGCCAGCGGACGTGTGTGCTCACCCGATGCATCTTCATCTCGATTGCAGTTGCAGTTGCATCGCACATGTGTGTGCAGCTGTGCAGTAGCCACAACTCCCTGGAGATTCAGTGGAGCCGCTGGATTATTTGGCCAGCCACTGGCGATGTACGGATGTCATTTGGGCCACCTTTGAACTCCTCACGCGCCTCCTGAAAATGATGAAAGCGCCGCATCTAATAGGAAAAATGGTAAGACACTTTTTGCTTTTCATTTGTTTGCTTAAGGAAAATTGAAAAGTTGATTAAGTTCGGGGATTCAAGTTGAAAGTGCATTGAAAGTTGCCTTTGATCGAAAACTATGACCCATGAAATTAAATTATCTCAGTATTAATCATAACGAAAACTAAAATGTGGCTAAATATTAACTCGATTGGAAACTCATCAATGTAATAAATAAACACACAGAGTTATATGTTCTTGTCATACAAATTCAAAATCATTTACTTTAAATGATTTATAATATTAACAAAATTTAATTTGTGTGAATTATCCTGGACTAATAAGCTTCCAAAAAGTATTCAAATAGTAAGTTACAATGCCTAAGTTCTTATACTGTCTGACTTAAAAATAAATAAACATTTTTATTCTTTTTTCCAGGATCAATTACCATTAGCAAAAGACCAAATACAGCGATATAATAAGCCAATTTTATTTGTTTTTATATGACTACTTTAATATCTTTATTATGGCATTTTTAAAAATGATGTAAAAATGTATGTAAAATAAGGACTGTAATCCGAAAGTCAAACTTAGAGCCTAGTTGCCAAAAGTATCTTCCAGAGTCCAGTCCACGCTCTCATCTCATGCAAGTAAATCATTTAAAAACCATAAAACAGCGGCGAAAACGCAACGAAAATGAAAACATGTCATTTCGAGCGGGCAAAGTGGAGCTAAAACATAAAATTAAAGATTTGTGCCCGGCGAGCGGCTTCCATCCCGGTTGTATACAAAAAATTCTGTTGCCGAGAACCTGTGACCAGGGGCCAGAGCACAGAAGCAGCCATAAAGAAGCTTTTACGGCCACTGGACTGGAGGCGAAACCGAAGCCCGAGTCGAGATGATAAATTGTCTACCACGGCCAGTTGGCTTGTTGGACGTTTGTCGATTATTTGCCTGGATTTCCCCTCTCTTCGTTTGCATTTACCATATTTTGCCAGTGCAGGTCGACAACTTTTCACTGCCGACGACACTAACGGCTACCATAGATCAGTTCCGACCTGGCCGAGGACTTCGACCATGTCCTCCTCTGGGCTCCGAGCTGGGCATTAGATTAGACAATTTGTTGGGGCTGCGGCGAACAGTTTGTGCCTGCAAGCGCCAGGGTCGAGGCTCTGAGGAATTTATCACCGCTCCCCCCTCGAGTTTCCCCTGCGTGTTAATTGAAAATTGTACGGTAATGTTGCTTATCGCGCGCCTATCAGACGTCTTCCCCAGACTCTGGGACCCCAATACTCTCGACCCCCTCCCCCTGGTGCATTTCTGTGGGGCTTGCGTGCGCCGAGTCCATGTTCGTGGGCAGCCTGCCACACCTTGAGACACCTTGGAACACCTTGGGACACCACCACGCATCGATTTTGTGTGTGGCTTGCGGTGAAAATTTCTAACACTTTTTGACAACTTTTCGGGGAACGCACTTAAAAAATAATTTATCGCCGCTGACATTTTTTGTGACTTTAATTGCCGCTCCGATAGCGGTTGCCCGTTGCGGTCCAGCAGCTTCTTGTCTATAGATTTTGGGCTTAGCCGGGTAAGCTTCACCTTAGACTCGTAAGCGGTTGACGCGATTCGAGCGTAATAGCTTTTTCACCCAATGTGGATGATGGATCGCACAGCGATTGAGGGGAGCATAGGGCTTGGGAGCTCCGAATAGAGTGTATACTTTTGAAATCCGGAAGTAAGCTAACCGCAAACTACTCGCTTTTGACCTAATCAGAATCTTCGTTTTAATGCCTACCAAGAGGACAAAGTCGAACATGGGGCTTCGGTTTATGAGTTCAAGGTGAGCTTACATTTTAGTAACTAAGCACATCTTAATATGTATTTAATTGGTTGGAATCACTTAAAAGACAAGCCTTTTTATATAAAACTCTGGCGATGCCGAGAGCCAAATCAGTGTACAAAACAACTCTAGGCAGCTCGTTACTTCAAGATCGAAACAGAATTTTCACCATGCTTACATTCGGATTGCTCCTGACCGTTGGAGTATTCTTTTGGATATATTTTCTATGGAGTCGACGAAGTCTTTACATGATGCATTCTAAGCTGCCCGGACCCTTGGGACTTCCAATTTTGGGCATCGCTTTAGAGTACCTTATCCTCAATAAACGTAAACTCTGTTATTAAAAAAGCAATTAGCTAAGAAATCTCTAAAATTCCTTTAACCACAGGTAAAATGATCACACGAACCAAGTATTTGGATATGTATGGGTCAACCATTCTGGTCTGGATTGGCCCAGAGCCCTTTGTAGTCACACGGGATCCAAAGATTGCCGAGGAAGTCCTTTTGTCGTCGGAATGCATCAACAGGAGTTCGCATGCGGCTGATCCGATTGCTCTTAGTGTTGGAGATGGGTTGTTCACATTAAAAGGTACTGAAGTTCAAACACTTTCTTCACCTGTCATTGCCATTTTGAAATGTTATTAGGAAACAAATGGATTACGCGTCGCAAGCAGATGAATCCCACATTCAAGCACAATATCCTGCTCAGTTTCCTTCCCATTTTCAATGCCGAGACGAACACTTTGGTCAATTTGCTGGACACATACGCCGGTGATGGCGAAAAACAGATCCTTAGTGATATAGTCAGGTGGTCGTTTAGAATATCCACTCGTAAGTCACAGAGCGAAACTGTATTTATAATTTATATTCACTAATATTTGTCGACAGAAACCACTGTGGGAACTGATGTAAAGCATGAAGAAAACTTTAAGAACGATACAGTCTTAAGAAGTTATCAGTCGTAAGTGAATCACAAGCCCCACAAGTGAATCTCTAATCTTAAGTAATTTACATATTCTAGGTTATTGGAACTGATAACAATGAATGTTTTAATGCCCTTCACTCGAAACAAAGTAATTTCCACGCTGTGTGGATTTGAAGATCAGAGAGCGAGGGCCGCTTTAAATATTAAAAAAATGATATCCAAAGTGGGTTTGATCTGTCTGCATAAAGTTTCCATTCTAATATCTTATCCTTACAGATAGTCGACAAAAAACTAAGCTCAAAGCCAGAAGGTAGCTCCAAGCCCGAAGTTAACTCTGTGATTAATAGAGCTATTGAAATGTTTCGAAATGGTGAAATGTCAATTGAGCATGTGCAGGGGGAATGTAGTAGTATAGTGGTGGCTGCCTTCGAGACAACTGGTCTGACGGTGTGTCACACACTCACCCTGCTGGCCATGTTCCCCGAGTACCAGGATACGGTCTTCGAAGAGCTTAAGGATCTCTTCCCAACGGCCGGAGACTTCGAAGTGACCTATGAGGATCTGCAGAAAATGGTTTACTTGGAGCAAGTGTTGAATGAGGCTTTGCGACTGATACCATCCGTACCATTTGCGCCGAGAGAAACAACGCAGGACTTCCGACTTTCGAATGGAGCTCTCATTCCCAAAGGAGTAACCATTGGCATCGACATATTCAACACTCACCGCAACCCGGATATCTGGGGTCCAGAAGCAGCGAAGTTCAATCCCGATAACTTCCTGCCGGACAACGTCCGCGATAGACATCCTTACGCCTTCCTTCCGTTTTCAAAGGGAAAACGAAATTGCATAGGTCAGTTGGATTTCCAATTGGTTAACTACATTATTAATACCTTGTTTTCGTTTTAACTAGGCTGGAAGTATGGACTGATGTCTTCTAAGCTCGCCTTAGCCAAGATCCTCAGGAACTTTAAGATACGCACTTCTTTCCGCTATGAGGATCTCGTTTTCGTTGACAACATTGGCATGAAGCTGGCCGAGTCACCAGGAATAGATTTTCAACGTCGGACTTAGGGCTCTGTTTGTTCTTTTTTTATGAGCCAAATGATGCTGACCAAAAAAAAATTCACATGAGGTCGAACCCCTTTAATCATATACGAACTATAAATTCGTCACTATGGACGGCAGTACACGTAGTGACGACTCGCGCTTTCAGACTGTGAGGAAGAGAATAATAATATATAGCCACAGGATTGAAATTCTGCCGTAATGGTTCGATATACCGATCGAAAAGTATCACTTAAAGGGGATTGCATATCAAGACTTTATGAAAAATCAATTGTTTTTGGAGAAATAGCGGTGAATGTGTAAAAATACCAAATTAAAAAGCTCGTTTTTAGGCTTTGCTTTATTTTTCAAAATTGCTATGTTTACGATGCTCCGTTCTAAAGGTATTGAAAAAAAAGGATTTTTGGTATTTTTCAATATGAAAAAAAGTATAGTAGTTATGCATCCAAACGAGCTTTTGGAAACATTTTAACTTTGTTAAATAGCAGATATAAAACATCATTTGTTCCACGACTCTTTGAAAAACCCGCTAGCTTAGTTTAAGATTGTAAATGCCTGTATATTGTAAACGCCTACGTTGTTTTTGCGTTAAGAAGATTTTTTTGTTAAACATTTACAAAATTAAAGCCAAAAGTTAGTTTCCATTTTCATTTCATTTTATTTCGAAAACATCCCTTAACGAGGTAAAAAGTCGTGAAGATCGCATTTTCAACATACAAAACTTTTGATATTTTTGATTTATCACCCGACTAAATAAATACACCTTATCACATTTTCCTATGCGGCACAATGCAATAAAAACAAGAGAGAACGCTATAGTCGGGTGCCCCGACTATCAGATACCCGTTACTCAGGTAAAGGGAGTGCGAGGGAGATGGAGATATAAACTTTGATCACGCATAACTTTTTAACGAATGGTCCGATTTGAAAAATTTCTTCTACATTTCGATAGGTATTGATAAACACAATAAAACTGCATTTTTACTTTTCCGAAATATTTAAATTTTTAAAATCGTATATAAGCGATTGTGGGCGTTAAAGGGGGCGTGACACCTTTTTGAAACAAACTTGCGCTGCGTAGGAACTCCTAGAATCTGCATGCCAATCCTCTAGCTTTTATAGTTTCCGAGATCTCAGCGTTCATACGGACAGACAGACGGACAGACGGACATGGCTATATCGACTCGGCTAGTGACCCTGATCAAGAATATATATACTTTATAGGGTCGGAAACGCTTCCTTCTAGCTGTTACATACTTTTGCACGAATACAATATACCCTTTTACTCTACGAGTAACGGGTATAAATATCTGTGTAGACAAAAAGCTTCAATTTAGTCGAGTGACTTTTTTACATTTTTTGTTTACACTTACACCTGAATATTATTTTTTTTTGGGTCCATTTGTTGTGCGATGGTAGCGAGAATTGTTGATTTATGAAATTATAGTTCTGAAAACTATTCGTATATTCCTATATTCTTTGATATTACATTTAGAATTGGATTTAGGACGTAAAACTTTAAAAAAGGAGAGAAAAAGGGATGAACAAACTAGAATAAATTGGTAATTGTAGTCCAAGAAACCAAGCTACGTGGTAGCCATAAATATGTGAATAAAGTTAAATTATAAAAGCTCAACCTGAAGACACCAAATTGGAGTACTCACCTAACATGTACATTTCATTTTTGATCGCCTAGAGTTAACATTGGTTGTACAGTTTTCTATGAAGACGAAGCCAATTCTAGTATAAACCGCACATAGATTTCATTCTTTGTTAAAGAAGCTGCGGTTATATAATATCATTCAATAAAGAACATAATGTATCTTATCGACAAGAAAAGTGCGTTTACGAAACTTAAATGACGGACTAATTTGACCGTAAAAGATCCCAAGAAGTTTTCAATTTCAGTCTTGTGTTTCCAATATACTTGATTTTTAATAATTTATATATTCTAAGACAATTAAATCTTCTCAAATGCACTTTCTTTCAGAAAAAATCACTCTCTTTTAGAGGATTTAAGTACTTCTAATATTTTTTAGTTTTTTTTCTTTTATCTATGTTGAACTGCCTAAAGAAAGATTTATACCTTTCGACCTCCATTGCCTCGGTAAACACTATTGGACAAAACTACAATCTCATCTGCAGGAGAAATCATCATTTCATTACAGTTAAATATGGCTGATCTGAGTTTCTAAAGTTAACAGATTTAATAGGCTAATAAATTAGATATACTGCTCCCAAAAACATTTTGTAAGTCAAGGGCCAATCTATAATCACAGTATTTAAAACGCAATTAGCCTAAATAATTACCCACTTTTAACTAGGGTATCGCCACCTACATAAATCTTGACCTCAACTCACTAAATGACAATCCCCAGCTGAGATATATATTCTGCCACACGTTCCGTACTAGCACAATATTTTGGTAAAATGCTTGCAGTACACTTCTTGATTGTCGCGGGGATATTTTTGTGGATCCGTTTTCTATGGAGTCGCCGTAGATTTTATATGCTAATGTGGCAGTTGCCCGGACCAATGGGACTTCCACTGCTTGGCGTAGCTGTCAATATTATTATGAATAAACGTAAGGAGTGATCCCGGCAATTTGTAATTAAGACCCAGGAATAACTCCTTCATCTGCAGGTAAAATGAGCCTACGAGGCCAATATATGGACCACTATGGCTCGACCATTTTTTCCTGGCTCGGACCGGTGCCAATTTTGGTTACTAGGGATCCAAAAATAATAAAGGATATCTTAACATCTTCCGACTGCCTCAACAAGTCCTTGTCCATGGTTAATGCTATGGGTAATTGTATTGGATTCGGATTGGTGACTTTGCGAGGTATGGAAATATAATGTGCATGAGAACAATTAAAAAAACCGAGATTATTAGTTATTTAAATTATTTATTTCAACATTGTGTAGAACCTAAATGGGATGTTCGTCGCAAGCAGATTAATCCCGCATTCAAACACAGTGCCATGCTCAGCTTTATTCCCGTTTTCAATGATGAGTCAAAGACATTAGTTACCTTTATGGATACTTTTGTGGGTCAAGGGGAAAAGGATGTGCTTCCAGATATGCTCCGATGGTCCTTTAGAACAGCCATAAGTAAGTATTGTTAAAAATAGTATAATCAGTAACTATCACATCACTAATCATGATATTTAATTTTTTATTATTTTATAACACCACACTTTATATGATTGCAGAAACGACAATTGGATCTGATATGCAAGAAGATGAAAACTTCAAGGATGATAAACTATTGCAAAGCTATCAATCGTAAGGAAAATAAAAGCATTATAGTCTTATCTTACCTTATTAATGGTTTAATTTTAAAGAATTATAGGTCTGATTACGATCAACGTAATCATGCCCCTGGTTCAAAACAAATTTATCGCAAAACTCTGTGGTTTTGAGAAGAAGAGATTGAAGCATGTCTTGATGATTAATAAAACCCTTCAAAACGTAGGTATATAGGTCAATGTAAAATAGTCATTGGCTAATTCTTCCTATTTTTTTAGATTATTGATAAAAAACTAAAATGCAAGGAAGAAAATAATACAGCAAGCATTTCTAACACTGTGATCAACCGAGCAATTGACCTGTTTCGAAATGGCGATGTCAGCTACGAAGAAGTGAAAAGTGAATGCAGTAATATGGTTTTAGCTGCATTCGAGACTACAGGCCTTACAGTTTGGCACACTATGATTTTGCTGGCCATGTTCCCCGACTGCCAGGATATAGCATTTGAAGAACTTAAGAAGGTCTTCCCAACAAACGGCGACTTTGAAGTGACCGACGAAGACCTACATAAATTGGAGTACTTGGACCGCGTATTGAGTGAGACCTTGCGGTTGATACCACCTATTCCCGTTGCCCCAAGGGAAACTTCCGGAGATCTCCACCTTTCTAATGGAGTTACCATTCCCAAGGAAGTCGTAATAGCCATCGACATTTTTAGTACTCACCGCAACCCGGATATTTGGGGCTCAGAAGCAGAAAGATTCAACCCAGATAACTTTCTGCAGGAAAACATCCTCGAAAGACATCCCTACGCCTACATTCCATTCTCAAGAGGAAAAAGAAATTGCATAGGTTAACTTACTTCTTTTTTTAAACCAACAAATTTGCGAATTCTCATATTCTGTTACAGGTTGGAAATATGCACTGATGTCAGTCAAGCTCGCATTAGCCAAGATACTCAGGAACTACAAGATAAGCACTTCTTTCCGATATGAGGATCTTGTTTTCGTTGACAATACGGCCATGAAGTTGGCACAGTCTCCAAAATTGCAGTTTGAAAGACGGAACTAATTTGTTGTTTGTCCATCTTATTATAAAGTTATACAAATAAAAACTTTAAGGGGATCGTTATACTCAATAATTTATGCCTAATACTTGATAACAAAACAATGTATTCCGAACTTTATTGGGCTGATTAAATTAAATGTACTTGGATCATGTATTGCATATTGATATTAATGTTCACGAGGGATTAACTCTGATGATAAATATTTTTATCTTTTAGTGCAATAGGAACTTCTGGCGTGCAAGGACTGCGGTGTGTAATCCCTATAACTTTCTGATAAGCTTTTCCATAACTTTATAAATATAATAATATTTAATATTTTATATTTGGCACGGATATCTGCAAATATAATTCTGGCTTTTGGTATTAAGTCCTCGAATTCGTAGACAATGCTATTATAAAGATAAATCAAAACAATCATTATTAGAGGTGCTATTCAAAATGTACATAGATACTTGTAACATTTTGACTTTAATAAATTATTAATTTTATATGAATCTAAGCGTTATAGCAAGAGCAATAACAAAATCTAAAAGCTCTAAGCATCAAAGTAAGCAAGGCATGACCGATCTTCCCTACTGCCAAATGGTCGACCATCCAGTCTTGTTGAGAAACACACTCGAAATGAACACAATCTAGACATTCCCCTTCCTCCAAATTTTAAGTGTCCCAAAATGTTGGCTCTGGCCAGGAACTCGTGGTGTGGCCAAATGCTGAGTCGCCTGGCGAACATCGACGCCCGCGCCCAAAGACCGTACTCGAAGTCGTCCTCCGGCGGGAAGCAGTCCGTCCAGCAGGGGAAGTACCGGATTGTGATGGTGCGGCACGGGGAGTCCGAGTGGAACCAGAAGAACCTGTTCTGCGGCTGGTTCGATGCCAAGCTGACGGAGAAGGGGCAGCAGGAGGCCTGCACCGCCGGCCGCGCCCTCAAGGAGGCCAAGATGGAGTTCGACGTGGCCCACACCTCGGTGCTGTCCAGAGCCCAAGACACACTCTCGGACGTCCTGAAGTCCGCCGAGCACCAGAAGATCCCGGTGTGCACCTCCTGGCGCCTCAACGAGCGCCACTACGGCGGACTGACGGGACTGAACAAGGCCGAGACCGCCAAGAAGTTCGGCGAGGAGAAGGTCCAGATCTGGCGGCGCAGCTACGACACCCCGCCGCCGCCCATGGAGAAGGACCACGAGTACTACGCCTGCATCGTGGAGGACCCGCGCTACCAGGGCCAGCTGAGTGCGGAGGAGTTCCCCAAGTCCGAGTCCCTCAAGCTGACCATCGAGCGCACGTTGCCCTACTGGGAGGAGGTGATAGTGCCGCAGATCAAGGAGGGCCTCCGCCTCCTGGTGGCCGCCCACGGCAACAGCCTGCGGGGCGTGGTCAAGCACCTGGAGTGCATCTCCGACGAGGACATCATGGCCCTCAACCTGCCCACCGGCATTCCCTTCGTCTACGAACTGGACGAGCACCTCAAGCCCCTGGCCCCCCTGAAGTTCCTCGGCGATCCGGAGACGGTGAAGAAGGCCATGGAGACGGTGGCCAACCAGGGAAAAGCCAAGTGATCCCTGATTTCGGGTGTCCCAACTGCCCGATGGAGAAGGTCAGGGCAATCAGCTCAATGCACTTGCTGGCCAAACAAAAACAGAGGATCGAAAGTGGCTGCGAGGGAACTGTGGCAAGGCGAATGTCAAGCAGCAAATAAATTTATTTGATTTTAATTGACAATGAAAAGTCAACAGCGTTGGACTGGGCATTGGTCTCTTGCTCTGGGTCCCAGGCTGCCAGAGTAGCAGGGTCCCAGGGTCTGGATCTGGGTCTGGGTCTGAGCCAAAGTCCAGCCGTATTTATATGTGTTTCCATTGCGCTCGTTTAAGAAATCAGGGAACCGAGTGTGTCGCGTCAATTTTAATTGCTGCGGGATGAGTCCGCGCAGCCTCTGGCATTCCGAATGGGTCGAACTTTAATTTGTTTAAATGAAATACTCATTTAGGGCTTATTGACAAACAAATTGAATTGATTGATCTAAATGAATTTATATGCTGAGCAGTGAGCAGTGAGCAGTGAGCAGTGCGCAGGCGACTGGCATTCACCGCTCAGATTGCCTCGTGATGAGAAGAGTGGTGGTAGTGGATGGGTTGGGATGGGATGGGTGGTTTAGTCTTCTGCGCATTTGACCCGCTATTAGCTGTCTATATGGGAGTTCAGTCGAGGCCAGATTTTCCATGTTAGAAACGCAGAGCGTGGCGAGCTTTGATCCAGTAAATTGGGAGCGTGAAACGAGCTAGGAAACGGCCACTCCGCAGGAAGATGCTCCTTCGAGACTGTCTGGGCCGAAGAGGCGTGAGCTCCACATTATTTGGACTTAATTACACAGCCGCAGCCGCAGAGCAGTCGAGCCGAGACCGAAGTTAAGACCAAAGTCAAAGACGGAGTCAAAGTCGGCGCCCCGTTAAATCGTTTCCACTACACATACCAATCGCGGCATAGAAACGGCGGGAACATAAAAATGTTTGCACTTCGTATTTGTCGCGCATAAAATCTAATATCGAATTACAAGGCCCGGTCTTTGGTCTTCGGTGTTCGGTGTTCGGTGTTCGGAGAGGAGTCCGCAGCAGTGTGCGTGTCAGCGAAACTTTGTGGCATGGAGCCTGCCCGTCCCGCTGCCATAAAGAAACTGAATTGAGTTAAATGCGCGATAAATTGCTTTTTGCATTTACCATGGTCGCCCTGGCAGGCGGCAGCCGAAGTTTTCGCTGGAGTGGAGCCAAGCCTAGACCATGGAGATGGAGAGGCGACTGCGGACTCCACCCAGACTCCTCCGCCTTCCATTCCCGGCTGTGGCGAATATTGAACAAGATTTTTAATTAGTCGCCAAAAAGAAGCGGAGGGGGAGAGCCAAGAACACAAGACTGCCAGGAATTTAGTCAAGTTCAGTTGAACCAAGGTTTATTTATGCGCTGCCGGACTGTATTTATTGGGCCAGATCCTGGTTGATCACCTGGCTGATGTAGGCCAAAAAACTGGACACTCGTGTGTAGACATCGGGCCTGCCCTGGGCACAGGTGGATGAGCCGTACGACACAATGCCCACCAGTTGAGGTTGGGGGCCGGTCTTGATCAGAGGTCCGCCAGAGTCGCCCTGGAATGAAGACATTACAATTTGGCCCGGTCAGCAACTTATTTCTCACTTTCGTATTTACTACCATTTTTCCTTATTTTTAAGACAAATAAATGTATATCAATGGTTTAAATAACAACTGTCAAATAATTACATTCGATACTGAACAATTGAATTAGCTAGTAATTGCAAAATTAATTTGTAACTCTATGTATTGTAATATTTGTAAAATTGCATTGTTATCAACTAGGCGCTTTAATAAAGGAAATTCTTTTATATTTACAAAATTAAGACTTCCAAATAACAAAAAATTGTAATATTTCTGAGCCATATTTTTGTAAAAATGAGAACATACCCTTGCACAATCTACTAGAAAAGTGTAGTTAAAATTGATTAAATATAATTTCATTATTGATGTTGACTGATGACATATAATTTCATACTTTTTATACATTCTTGCACTCTATTTAGACCGGATCTGAGACTAAAGAGGATGTTATGTATCTTAGCTTACCACACATGCCCCTTGACCATGGACAGCCAGGGCGCAGATCTCGTTCCGAGTCACCCGGAATCCCTTTTGGTTGCACTCCTCGTTCGAGATGGTGCGATAGTTCAGCGCCTGCAGGTGATCCGGCAGAGTGGCCGAGGAGGTGGACGGAGAGGTGGATCCCCAGCCGGTCAGGCGGACGGGAACCTTTTCACCAATGCGATCGGAGCCACCGATGAGGATGGTGCTGATGTTGGATCGCTCCAGACGGAAGGGGGGAGTGACCTTGACAAGGGCGATGTCATTGATGATCCGCGGACTCATCGAGTACTGGGGATGGACGTGCTTGGTCACCGCCCGGTGGCGCAGGCCTCCTGCCTTCCAGTTGAGTGTCCCAACCACCACGCTAACGTCCTCCACCTTCATCTTCTCCATGCAGTGGGCTGCCGTAAGGACATGTTGACTGCTGACAATGGAACCACCGCAGAAGTGCTGCCAACGACCACGGCGCTGAAGTTGCAACGACACTTGGAAGGGGACCGTCTCGTTTACTAGCTGGCCACCATTAATCCGAGTGGGTGGTTCGATAGTCGGGGTCACCACTTCCGTCATCCCTTGGTGAAGGATCAGGATAAGAGAGAAAAGCTTCAGGATTACCATCTCCGAATATGATATCACGTGTGCACTGTTGTAAATGACTGGTATGTGACTGCAACCCATGCTTTTTATACATCTCCACGTCGAGCTTATCATTTATTTGGCGATGCAAACATGTAAATACTTGTGATCTTGAAATAATGCAATGTGGGTTGAGTTTGGGTTACCTTAACCAAGTATCGCCTATAAGTAACAGTATTGGTTTTATGTACACTGTACAAAAAAATCATTAATAAAACATCAAAGGAAGAAGCAGAAATGGGTATCTTCTGTACGTATAATAAAGTCATATAATGCTGAACCTCCTTTTTTAATTAGTGATTTGATTAAATCAACTAAACAATAAAACGGCTTTCACTAGCCTTATTATATACAACTGGGAGTACCCTTAATTTAACAAAATAAAAGACAACCAATTTTTTTGTAATTTGAATAAATAAAGTCTATAATATAAATTTACGTTGTTCGCTAATATAGTTTATTAGCGATTCTTTTCCTCTTGGCGACTACTTGAAACTTTGTTTTGTGTGAGAGAAGGGATTACATTTACAGGCCAAACAGTAGTTGATTTCGATCTCCTGCTGGTCAGGTCCTGTTCAGGTGCTGTTCAGTTGTCCCCTTGCGTGCCTGGTTATCATAAGCTAGCAGGGATGCGATCCGAAGATCCCATCATAAAACTGGGCTTGACAGAAGCGCCTACCTGTTGTCATCAATTAGGTAACACGCTCACGCGACCGATAAATATTAAGCCAGCTCTAGCCCGATTCGGTATCTGTTTATCTGGGCAAACGCGAATTCGTATCTGGTCGCTGCTCCGTGGCCTGATCTCTTATCTGATCTGCAAATAAAAATCTGTTTAATTTGCCCAATGCTCGGGCCAGAGCCAATGCCAGATCGCTGCATGTGTTGGGGTCCAGAGTCATAATTTATAAGACCGGTGGGGGGGTGCGAGGAGAATTCGCATATGCACGACGGCCACTGAGGTGCACCTCGTGGTGCGATCCTGAGCAAATTAAGTACTAAAATAAACGACCAATTTACTGATTATGCAAAACACGCAATTAATTTCCCACTTGGAAACGAGTGCGAAATTAATTGGCTGCGAAGCGGAAAACTCATTCGGCTAGCCAAGCTGATCCCGTTTGTTTATGTTGGCATCAGTCATAATAATTTGCATACGGATCCATACCAGAGCAACAGTTTTTCTCACCTGTTTCCTCTGATTCTCCTGATTGACCCTCGAATCAAAACGGTTAGTACAACTCTTCCGAGTGGCTACTGGACTTAAAACCAGGTATATAAAATGCCACTTCTCCCACTCCAGACAGATCATAAAACCAGCGGCTCTGCTTTAAGAAGTCAGCCAATAAATCAAGCTGAAGACGTCGGCGGCAAAGAGACAAGCAAGAAAACAAATCCCGAATACAAAAAACCCATAAAAATTGCACCGGGAATGAGTGCTCACTTCGGTTCTGGCCCGTTCTTCTGGGCCACACGCACAGTTCTACAGAAGCTGGCCTGCGAACATGGCCATGAATGAGGGCATCCGCGGGGCAGGCAATCAAACAAAATGTCATAATAATGATGGCGTCCCGTCGGAGCGGACAGGCAGGATGCTTATCTTGTTAACACCGAACCGATCCTCAAGCCCTTGGTCGGGAGGATATGGTCGCGAACACCGCTGATGAAATGATTAAAGTGCGTTTTATTAGTGAGAATTTCGACCATCATCTGCGGAATCGCAAAGGTTTTCAACTGGGATTAGGGCGATGACTTGTCTACAATTAAGTTTCCTTATATAATATATTATATTTGGATGTAAATCAGATTTCTTTTAATTTTTGGACGAAACGAAAAAAAAGATGCATCCCGAATGTACTATATTTTTTAAACAGGGGACAGCAATTAACAATTACATTACATTTATATCTTCTGAACATTTTTTTAAAGTTGCTTAGGAAGAAAAATATTTCAGATTTATATTTACATATAAAACATTAATATAGTTTTTTAAAACCTCTAACATTGATGCTGATTTTGCTCTTAGCTTCCATTACCACTTAATGTTTTGTTTTATTAAATATGTTATCACATTTTTCGGGGTTGCATTCACAGAAATTATGAAGAGGATGCTACAATATGTTTTCTGTATTAAAAAATGTTTTCTATCTCCAATACCTGTTCTTAATAAACTAAACAAGTTGTTTGCTTCAATGGTAATTCTCTCAGACGTGCCTTTCATTGATTAAATTTCCTTTGCTAGAACAAAGCTTAATGAGTTAACACAAGGATTAACCCGTCAAGTCGAAGAAGTCGCAGACGCACCGAGCTCACATGCAAATTAGACGCAGGATAGGCATTAAGCATACGCTTCGCAGATAAGTCATGCCTTGACAGGGTGGTCCAATTAACAAACGGCGGCAGGAGGCAACACGACAGGCGCCAGAGTCGACTCAGATCCCCAGATGCCCAGATCCGCAGACACATCCTGTGGGTGGGGTTGGCTTGCTGGCGATATAATAAAGCCATTTCGGGTTCAAATCGGTTCGTTGGCTCGCAGCTTCGTGGCGCTGCATCGCGGCCCAGGACAATTAACACAGAAGTCCAGAGATCAAGACCTTAACAGCAGCCAGGACGCAAACGGAGGAGTCGCCACGAAACCGAGAGGTGTGCATAATCAATTCGCGCCAGTGCGCCACACACAGCTGAAGACTCTGTCCAGGTCCAGGTACACCCAAAATGATTCATTAGCTGGATGCAATCAGGCCCGGAACTGACACATCTGACTCCGAATGTGGACCAGATAGCACTTACAGCGCCCGCCCATGAAAGAAGGAATGGAATTGAGGCAGAACTCGAGGCTGCAGCGGAGGCTGATTTGCATCGAACATGTGGATAGCCTTCACGTGGAGCTCCTTCTGCAGCTCTTGTCTGGACCAGAGAGCAAAACCGAAGCCAAAACCGAAACTGAAGCTGCCTCCGAGGTGTCCGAGGTGCTGATTGCCAGCGGCAGGTCTCCTTGTCCGCACAATGAATTAAAAGAAATGTCCGCTGCCGTCGCAGGGGCTTGTTTAATCGGAATATTTAAATTATTCGCTGATTAAAACTCTGAGACAGATCGGTCGGCAAGGAGTTGGTTCTGTTTGGCAGACAGACTCTGATTCTGATTATTTCAGTGACTCCTCAGTGAACCTTTGCGTAGGTGTGGTTCCAGGTAATCGCGGAAGCTGACTCTTCGCCGATCTCTTAGGATTCCAATACGCTGACAGGCTCAGTAAATTGATGTATTGATTCAAGAAAGAACAGGAATGAAGGTCTATATTTCGGCATTTAAATACACTATTTTATTTCCGCAGTCAAGTTAATAAAGTATGATTATTACTTCCTCGTTTAAGCCACGAATTAAAATCAAATCAATTCAGTTGGCTATCACCACGACCATTCCCATTTGTCTCTCCTTGCCAACTGCCAGTTCCTATCGTCTAGTCCACTGCTATCGTTGCCCAGCGACCTTATAACCCATTACATGAGGTGGGACGACCGCCCACAGCTGCACTCGATAAAATTCAAATGAATCGAGCAGAACGAAAAACCCCAATTAATTGGGGCTCAGCGAGGCGTATATAAACCTCGGATGCACAGCTAGTTTCAAGCTCAGTCCTACCATGAACGCAGTAACTTCTTTTGTGCTGTTTGTGACAGCTTTGTCGGCTCTGGACGTGGTCCTTAGTAAGCCCATGGGTAACGTCATCGACTGTAAGTGATATTGATAGCTAAACCAATGAGTACTCTGTACCTGAGTCTCCGATTCCCCCCAGTGGACAAGTATTTCGAGGAGGCAGACACCAATTCCCAGGAGCGTGTGGTCGGCGGCTACGATGTGCCCCTGGATGAGTATGTGCCCTACCAGGTGTCCATGCAGTTCCTCACTCGCAGTGGCAAACAACGTCATTTTTGTGGTGGATCCCTGATTGCCCCAAATCGCGTCCTCACCGCCGCCCACTGCGTCAACGGCCAGAATGCCAGTCGAATTAGCGTTGTGGCCGGAATCAGGGATCTGGAGGACACCTCCGGCTTCCGATCGCAAGTACAGTCCTACGAAATGAACGAGAACTACCAGGAACTAGTGACCAGCGATATTGCCATCCTCAAAATCGAGCCACCGTTCGAACTGGATGAGAAGCGAGTATCCACCGTCGATGTCAGTGGTTCGGATCTGGTGGGACCTGACCAGGAGGTTCTCCTCACGGGATGGGGCTCCGTCTTCCACTTCGGCACTGGTCCCTTCGCCAAATACCCCACTGTGCTGCAGAAGCTCAACTACAAGACCCTGAGCAATTCCAGGTGCAAGGAGACCATGACCCAACTGACGGACACCGAGATCTGCGCCTTGGAGAGATTCGGCAAGGGAGCTTGTAATGTGAGTTGAGTCTTTAATTTACCTTTTCTATCTTGTAATACATTTCAATTCGTTCCTAGGGCGATTCTGGAGGTCCTTTGGTGATGAAGAGCGGAGAGACCTATAAGCAGGTGGGCGTCGTCTCCTATGGCACCGCTTTTTGTGCCTCCAACAGCCCCGATGTCTACACCCGAGTTTCAATGTTCGATGGTTGGATAAAGGAAAGAATGGCTTAGATCAGTAATACAAATTGAAGTGTAATTTCCCATTTAATAAAAATATTTAAGCCAGAAGAATATAAAAATTTGTGGGCCTGTTTTGAATCACCTTTTAATCATTTTTAACATGAGCAGAACAAGATAGCAAAACCTTTTCTTGGTAAAGAACTACACTTACATATCGGTCTTTGCTGTAAACCCCCACATTCGATATTTGCAAACCAGTTAACTGGGTCACTTTACCAGCAGAACTCCTCATTATAATTTCAATTTCAAGATCAAATTTAATGGCATAACCAAGTATTCAAAGTGCCCCAGATATTTGCGATACATATGCAAATTCCTTCTCTAATGGGGGCCAAGTTTTAGTTTAAGTACCGTGGCATATGCAAAGCCAGAAGCATTAACCTACCAACGATGGGTCTACCTGAGTTACTCTTCATCGGCGCTTTAACTTTGGGATGTGTCTTCGCAAGGCTGAATTGTGAGTTTCATTTGGAATTATTTAGGGGTCTTCTGTAAATAATAGTTACATTCTGGCAGCTCGTCAGCCCAGTGGCTATACACCGCATCGAATTGTGGGAGGTGCTGATGTCCCACCGGGTGAACATGTACCCTATCAGGTTTCCCTGCAGTACAAAGCCCGCGCAGGTCAGATGCACTTCTGCGGTGGATCCATAGTTGCCCCCAATCGTATCCTAACTGCCGCCCACTGCTGCCAGGGCTTGAATGTGAGTCGCATGTCCGTGGTAGCAGGAATTCGTGGCCTAAACGAGAGGGGTTCCCGCTCCCAAGTACTGACCTACACTATTCATCCCAAGTACCAAGAATTAGTGACCAGCGATCTTGCAGTGCTGTCCATTGACCCTGCTCTAAAGCTCAACAACGTCAGCATCACCTCCATTGAGTACCAATCTAAGAAAAAGGAGTTTGTCGGAGGTGGAGTTCCTGTGACGCTTACGGGCTGGGGGCTCCGTTTGCCAGTTCCTTTTCCTTTCCTGGACGAAGTCAACTATCCAAACGTACTTCAGCGGATGAGTTACCACACGATCTCAAACACGGAATGCAAGAATGCGGGAATGGAGAGCGTCACGGACACGGAAATCTGCGCAAGAGGACCTTTCAGGGGAGCCTGTTCGGTGAGTCTGGGGATTATTTAATATCAATTTTAATCTGTACGCGATTGAACAGACATTCAGAATAGACTTATTTAGAGCATATTGGAATCAATTTTCCTGCAACTCTCTTAGCTTATTAAAGTCTAGCTCTTCTAAAACGTTATAATTCACGAATGGTTTTAGCTGAAAGGGGAATTTTAACATAAAATTAAATAATCAGCAATCTTCGACAAGCCAAAGTTTATATACCATTGCAGCTAATACAAAAATTAAATATTATATATTTCGATTTCCATGTTTAAAAACCATGAAGCTAGGTCAATTTACTGATACATTTTTCGATCGTTCCTATGGGAGCTGAACAATATCGTCGTCCGATTTTTATAACAGTAAAACCGTAATTCTAAAATCAGGATAATATGGGTATATGTTTGGAAACTACGAAGTTATAATTTTTAATATATATAATATACACTACCTGCAGCAGACTGAAAAATCCTTTTGCAAAGATTCATCAGCACAGCTTTAAAAGTAAGGGACTAGTTTGCGAAGAAACGGATAGACGGACGGACAATCGAGCATATAATTTAAATATAAAAAAAATTGCTTTTATTTTTTAGGGCGACTCAGGCGGACCTCTGGTTATGCAAACGGAAAACGGTCCAAGGCAAGTTGGCATTGTGTCCTACGGTCTGGTTGTTTGTGGACTTTACATATCTCCGGATGTCTACACCCGAGTGTCAACCTTCAGCGAGTGGATAGGAAGTCAACTGGAATCGTAAAGGGGCAGAAGATTCCTCCCCCTTAAGATCGGTTTATTCACTTGCTGGATAAATCAATTTAACAACTAAGGGAAAACTAATAAAGATAGTGTTGTTCAATCTACTCAGCTTCGACTTCAGCAGGCGCTTCTTCAGCAGGAGGTTCGGCCTCCTCCGCCGGGGCACGTTCCTCGGCGGGAGGTGGTGGTGGAGCAGCTTCTTCGGCGGGTGGTGCCTCTTCTGCGGGTGGTGGTGCAGCCTCTTCAACGGGAGGTGGTGCAGCCTCTTCGACCACTGCAGGTGGTGCCTCCTCCACCGCAGCCTCTGCCGGCGCTGGTTGAGCTTCGGCAGCCTGAACTTCTGGTTCTGCCAAACCGGTTGCCGAGGGTCTGGCCGTTCCCGGAGCAGTTCCCGGCGCAGTTCCCGGCGCAGTTCCCGGCGCAGTTCCCGGCGCAGTTCCAGGGGCAGTTCCCGGCGCAGTTCCAGGGGCAGTTCCTGGAGCAGTTCCTGGCGCAGTTCCTGGAGCAGTTCCTGGAGCAGTTCCCGGCGCAGTTCCCGGAACAGTTCCCGGCGCAGTTCCCGGCGCAGTTCCCGGCGCAGTACCCGGCGCAGTTCCCGGGGCAGTTCCTGCTGCAGTTGTCACTGCTGTCGACGTGACAGTCACATCATCAGAGCCAATCCCTGTGGTGTCCGGCAAAGAAGTCACCGTAACATCGGTTGGCTCCGTGGGCTCAGCACAAGGATCTGCAATAGGCTTGGTGGCAACACGCTGCAAATTGCATAAAGGTTAGGATATGTAATGATTTTGTGAAACTTTCTGTAGATCTTGTAGCCTACCAGCATGACCTTGCGGAAGAATCGCTGAAGGATGCTCGCTGCCTCCTGCCTGCGCCTCTCCTCCTCGTCGTCCTCCTTCTCCTAATGGACAAATGTGAAGATTGACATCAGAGTACAAGCGAAGATCGATGAACTCACCGCCGCGCAGACGCAGACGCACACTTCATGGGGGAACTGGAGACGGACCCAATAGCCACGCCAAGCCGACTGGATTGTGATGGCCGCCTGTTGACGCATCGCCTCGTTGATGCGCTTCAGCTCCCGATCGCGGAAGTACTGGTAGAGCAGCTCGGTGCCATCAGCACCACGTTCCGCGGACATGTAGGCGTCCACGAAGCGCTTGTAGGCACTCTCGATGGCCGGTCGCGACATGATCAGCTCCTGGTCGGAGAACTTGCACTTCAGCAGCAGCTCCTCCAGGATGTCCACGTCCTCGAAGTTTATGGTCTGCTTTCCGCGCCGCATCTCGCAGCGCCGCTTCTCGAGGAAGTTGCGGAAGCAGTCCTCCAGCACCTGGCCCATCAGCTCGGACTTTTCCTTGGACAGGTCGCAGACGCACAGGTCGGATATGATGTTGTCCACCTCCCGAAGAGCCCTGTCCAAAATGGACTTGGCCACTAAAACAAACGGTAGTGACGATAAGTGTAAACAAGAAAGGAAGAAAAGTTCGGCAAGCCGAAGCTTAAATACCCTTGCAGTTATTTCAAAACGACTACATTTCGATTTCTATGCCTATATTACTAAAAACAAGAAAGGAAAGCTAACTTCGGGCGGAGCCGAAGTTGATATGCCCTTGCAGAATATTATGTACATTATAGTCTCCAAAATTATTCATATGATGCATTCTTAATACTCATAAAAAATCCCAACTTCCTAACTTTAAAAACACCAAAGTTATGGCATTTCCAATCGTTCAGTTAAATGGCAGCTATAGGATATAGTCGGCCGATCCTTATGAAATTTGGTAGGTCGGATTGATTAACCAAATATAAAACCCATAGAAAATCCCAGCTTCCTAACTTTACAAACACCAAAGTTATGGTATTTCCAATCGTTCAGTTAAATGGCAGCTATAGGATATAGTCGGCCGATCCTTATGAAATTTGGTAGGTCGGATTGATTAACCAAATATAAAACCCATAGAAAATCCCAGCTTCCTAACTTTACAAACACCAAAGTTATGGCATTTCCGATCAATCAGTTATATGGCAGCTATAGGATATAGTCGGCCGATCCTTATGAAATTTGGTAGGTCAGATTGATTGGCCAAATATAACACGCATAGAAAATCCCTAAATTCCTAACTTTACAAACAGCAAAGTTATGGCATTTCCGATCAATCAGTTATATGGCAGCTATAGGATATAGTCGGCCGATCCCGGCCGTTCCGACTTATATACTGCGTGCAAAGGAAAGAAGGGTGTGTGCAAAGTTTCAATCCGATAGCTTTAAAACTGAGAGACTAGTTTGCGTAGAAACAGACAGACGGACAGACGGACATGGCTATATCAACTCAGGAGGTGATCCTGATCAAGAATATATATACTTTATAGGGTCGGAGATGTCTCCTTCACTGCGTTGCACACTTTTGACCAAAATTATAATACCCTCTGCAAGGGTATAACAATGAAGTTATGTCGATTTTGGCCTGAATTTTTCTATCGTTTCTATGGCAGCTATATGATATTGTGGCCGATTTTAATTTAATTAAAATCGTAATTCAATAATATTTTAATAAAGCCAAATCTCAAAGAACAAATAAAAAAACTTAAAAACAACAAACTAATATTTTTTTTAAAATTATTTTTGCCCGATTGTTCCTATGGGAGCTATATGATATAGTCGCCCGATCCGGCTCGTTCCGACTTATATACTACCCACAATAGAAAAATAACTTTTGGGAAGTTTCAAACAGATAGCTTTAAAACTGAGGGACTAGTTTACGTAGAAACGGACGGACGGACGGACAGACGGACATGGCTAGATCGACTATCAAGAATAAATATAGTTTATAGGGTCGGAAATGTCTCCTTCACTACGTTGCAAACTTTTGACTGAAATTATAAAACCCTCCGCCAGGGTATAAAAACGAAGAAACACAGCTATAAACTAAAATAGGTCATTCTCAATAAATTAATATGTTTTTACACTTTTGGATTTATATGCCGCATTTATCCACTAGCCAAAATACTTCTGCATAATGTCCAGTTTTAACCGATCCCTGGTTATCAACACTCCTGCATCCCACAAATACTCACCCAGCGCCTTCTCCCTGGTCACGATCACCGAGTGCAGATAGTCGATGATGAACTGGCAGAGACACTCCTTCTTCGGCTGGCATCGCAGAACCTCCCGCGTAATATCCGACAGAAGTTCCGGCAGACCCTCCGGCACATTTATCGCCTGTTGGCGCATCTTTCCGCGTTGAATCAGGTAATTCATATCGATATTTTCAGAAATATAAAGCAACAAATTCTATAATTTTGAACAGTCACCGCCTTAATGCGGGGAATATGAGAATAATATTTAAAGACAGCTACCGTGTTATATGACCTACTAGGTTGAGAATAAATAAAAACGTATGGCAGCTATATAGATTACAATATTAGTTTTAAAAATTATCCTAATATGTAATTAATTATAACGTCTTCCATCAAGTAGAAACACCTGCCGTGATTCCTTCAATGTTTGGCCGATTGGCCGGCGCGGAACATCCACCTGTGCGCGCAGAAGCGGCATGACAAAGTATTTGAGCCTCAAAAGGTCCAAAATATTAAAAACACTAGAATGTCAACTGAAGCACTAATTTGAAAAACGGCGCCAAACTGTATGACCACCTTGGAAAAAACGCAGAAAGTCTCGTTACGCCTTGCAAAAGTGGCCAGAAAGCACCAACATTTGCGGTAAACCCAAAGGTGGTCACACTGACCGGACTGACCTCAAGAGTGCCAGCGTTGCCCCCCTCAAGACCCACCTCATCCCGGCGCTACCATTTTTGGGTTGTGAACAGCGCTCTGCTACGTTTTCTACACGGAAAAATAGAAAACTACGACTACTCATGTAGAAATGTATACTTTGATTTACTGACACAAGATGGCGCTAGACAAGGTGGTGAAAAAATATTATACGTATATTTAATGTTATAATATAAGTAAAATAAAGAGTAGAAGTAAAATTGACGAATAAAAATTTTGTCGGTCTGGCAGAACTGTATTTTCCAAACGGGTAACACGCGCAACGGGAAAACTCCTGCATTCGAGCACTTTCCACTGAAAACCAATCGGTGCGATCTACCCCATCGAGAGCAATTTTCAGAAGCGGAAAATGCGGCGGAACGGAAAATTTCGAAACACAGATTTCAAGTTGGGGCAGAGTTACCACCTTTGGCGTTAAGGGACTTTCTCCGTCTTTTCCAATGCATTCAAGCCATTTTGTCGCTTTTTTGAAAGCCATTTTCAAATTTGACTTTCGAAAATAAATATTACTATTAAATGGTTAATCTTATTTTTTTTCCGCTTGTTAATTAAAAAACAAAAAATTTTTGTTTTTTAATCATCTTAGAAACCTGTTTTTTATTAGATATGAAATAAAGACACTTTAACATGAGGATTATATGTATGTTTTTTCTTTTAAAGTTATAATATAAAAGGTAAGTGTTTTCAAAACAAAGCCTTACGTTTTAACTTCTCACCCATTGAGGTAAAAAATTCGTTGCTATATTTAAAATTGTAGAGTTTAGTTGAACGTGATTATAAGTTTAGTCCTGAAACAATATTTTTTTTGCGAATAGTATTCGAAGAGCTCTCTAAAACACTGAAAACCCTGATCATCTATCGTAATGAAGCTGAAAGACTAACTAAATAGTAAATGAGCTTTACTTAATCACAACTACCGAAACAATATAAACATTTTCTTAATTTGAGAGTAGATTTATACACAACTTATTCCTAATTTTTGACAATAATGGATGGTTATTTAAACATACGTGGAATTGTGTCTTAAGACACGTGCCTCTGTCAATTCCAAAAGTCCACTCTTGTTTTGTTATGTAAAAGGCAAAAATGTTTAATCGTACTCGCAATTTGTGTAGGAAATTCTTAGGACTTTGTGCCTGTCATCGAAAGTGGGTGTGTATCGCGAATTTGTAATGCTTAATTTCGTATTCAGCTGGTATCGGAAACAACAAGCTTCTTGATGGATTCTCATTTTCAAAAAACAACGAACCGCTTTCCATTTATTTTCTTACCAGCTGACCTTTGCACCGTCCACTCGGTAATTCTACAAAGAAAAAGCTATACAACTTTTGTTTCAGGAAAGTGACAATATATAGTATAAAATAATATATATATAACAACAAAGAAATCAAACATCGGCAAGCCAAAGCTTATATACCCTTGAGGCTGTTGAAGTTGTTTGAAAATTATCTCAGAGTATACCCATACATATTAAAAACCAACAAAGTTTTAATTACATTTCTCTTCGTATCCCGATTGTTACTATGTGAGCTGTACGACCGATCCGGTCTGTTCCGGCTTATATACAACCTGCAATAGAAAAAACACTTTTTGGAAAGCTTAGCTTTAAAATGAGAGACTAGTTTCCGTAGAAACGGACGGACAGAGAGACGGACATGCCTAGTTCGACTCACCTGATGATGCTGATCAATAATATTCATATAACTTTTCCACTGCGTTGTAAACTTTTGACTAAAATTACAATACCCTCTGCAAGGGTATAGAAAGCAGTGGCGCACCCAAGTGGAATTGTTTTTTGGGATTATTATTTTTTTGTGGAACACTTAAACAAAACACTTGCGAATAAAAACTGTATATATATTTTTTTTTACTTATAAAGAGTACCATAATTTGTTAAGTATTATTATACAAAAATAGATATTTTAAAATATTGAATCCTAATATTTAACGAAGTGAGTCCCCTTATCCCAAAAGAAGGCGCTCCTGTCTTTTCTGTCGCAGCTTTCTGCGTATAAAAGCTGTTTTCCTCGGGTCTATTTCGATCGGCTGGCTGACGAAAGTAAGACCAGTGCAAAAAGCTCCGGCAGCCGCGATCGCAGCTGGAACTACGGGCTTGGGCTAGTTGGACGCCGGAATGCAGCAGCTGATCAGGGCGGCGCGGACGTTGGGTGAGGAATTGGGTGATTCACCAGGTGCCGGGTGATCGATTTGCCGCCTCCCATTCGCAGGTCAACGCTCGAGCGGCGTGTGGAGCGTGCGGGGAGTCGGAGGCGGGGACAGGGGAATCGCCTGCCTGGCCGCGCTCCCCGAAACCCACCAGATTCTGCAGAAGACTTGCCGGGAGTTCGCCAACGCGGAACTGGCGCCTAAGGCCCGCCACCACGACCGGGAGGAGCTCTACCCGGCGGAGCAGGTCCGCAGGTTGGGGGAACTCGGCCTGATGGCGGTGGTGGTGCGAGAGGAGTACGGTGAGTACTGGATCAGATGGGACCGATTTTTGATGGCTTTTTATTCCCTTATTAAATTTATATAAAATTCATTTGCGGAGGTTAAATATTTAACTTGATAGAAACTGTACAACAACATTACCTCCAATACCATTTAATCACTTTTCCTTATTTCTATGTTGCATTTTTACGTAACTACATACATAATTGAAATGTTGGTGCAAAATAAAATGCCACAGTACTAAATTTTTATGCATTGACCATATTGGAGTCATATTGTATTGTTCATATTCAATGCTGTTTTTCCAATGTAAACCATTTAATTTCTGATCCAAAATTTGTATTATTTGTTATGCTATATATAAATGAATTATTATTCCCCACAGGTGGATCCGGACTGGACTACCAGGCTTACGCAATTGGCATGGAGGAGGTGGCTCGCGGGGACGCAGCCGTTTCGATCGTGATGGGCGTGAACAACCTCTACCTGGGTGCAGTGCAGCAGCTCGGAACCGAGGAGCAGAAGCGGGATTTCCTGGTGCCGTACACCCAGGGTGCCCACATCGCCTTCTACGCTCTGTCGGAGCCGGGGAACGGATCGGATGCAGGGGCTGCCAGCACGACGGCCAAGTTGGACGGGGACGGCTACCTGCTTAACGGCACCAAGGCCTGGATATCAAACTCCAAGGAGGCCAGCGGGGGAATCGTGTTCGCCACCGTGGACAAGGCCCTGAAGCACAAGGGAATCACCGCCTTCCTCACGCCCAAAGATGCCCCAGGGCTTTCCATAGCCAAGAAGGAGAGCAAGATGGGCATGCGGGCCACCTCCACCTGCCAGCTGGTGCTGGAGGATGTCCCGGTGCCGCGAGCACGGGTCCTCGGAGCTCCCGGCGATGGCTTCAAGATCGCCATGCAGTCCCTGGACTGCGGACGGATCGGGATCGCCGCCCAGGCCACGGGCATCGCCCAAGCTGCTCTGGAACTGGCCGTGGACTATTCGCAGAAGAGGGTGGCCTTCGGCAAGCAGCTGGCGCGGATGCAGCTCATCCAGCAGAAGCTGGCCGACATGGCCACTCGCGTCGAGACCGCCAGACTGCTCACTTGGCGCGCCGCCTGGCTGAAGGACAACGGACTGCCCATTACAAAGGAGGCGGCCATGGCCAAGCTGCACGCTTCCGAGGCGGCCACCTTCTGTGCCCACCAGTGCATCCAGGTGCTGGGCGGGATGGGCTACACCACCGATCTGCCCGCGGAGCTGTACTACCGGAATGCCCGCGTCACGGAGATCTACGAGGGAACCTCGGAGATCCAAAGGATCGTAGTCGCCAACGCGGTGCTCCGGGAACTGGGCAGGGAGTGATTTCACAGCGGATGGGTCTCAATATTTGTTCAATTTATTTATACTGCCCTGCGACTAGAAAGGCATTTACTTTTACTTAACCCTGTTATGTTGTTCAACAACAAACAGTATTCTTAATACCAGTTATACATACATTCACGCCAGATAATTGCATTTACTAAGGTTAATTAAAAACTCATTGTTAAATAAAAATGTAAAAATAAAAATAATTCACTTTATTATTTTGTTGACCACAAGACTCATAACTGATTGGGGCCAGTTATTACTTTTCAGTCGTCGTGAAGACCCCAAGAAGACTGGGCGGAAATGATGCCACATCGATATTATGGTTTATGGTATTTCGACTAAGGTATGATAAACCTAGCTTCTATATCAGTGTGTTTAGCACGTTTTACAACAACCCATGTCAAGCCATTCCAGCAAATGATTCTAAAATCAAACAATATAAATGTTTACCTCATTTGCATCGCTAATTTCCATCACATCACAAAGGTCGTCCATCTGAAACCGACGTGCATGAGAATTATTTGCGTATTTCTATTTATACTGACCGACTGCCGAGGGCAATTAAAACCCCATTATGACGCAGAAACCTAGTAATATTTCACTCAATGCCATCAGTTTGGGTGTCTTAACTTATAAAATGTTTTTTACTGATCAAATGAGCAGTTACCAGATGAAAGCCAATAACAATCTCCAAAAAAAGTGTGGTTTTAAGGGCCGAGTTACCAGTAAAAACTGGGAATCATTTTAGTTAATTGCTTTCCCATTTTCAAAGTGAATTTCCGCTTGTTAATTGAAACCCGTTGCATTAATTGATAAGTGAAACCTTTGTTAAGTGATAGCTCAACTAATAAAACTGCGAATTGCTGTTGACATATACTATTTGACATATCACTGGTTTCTGATGTTGACACCCACAAATTCGTATAGACTTTTATACACTTTAATAGACTACTGCTCGCAACAATCGTTTTCTCTTTCGACTCAATAAAAAAGCCCCAAGTTCATCACACGCGTATCACTTTTTAGCCAGTCATGATGATGGTTTCAAACGACTAGTTACTGTTCAAAGTTCAAGCCAGCGATTTTTAAATTGAAGCTGGCAAAAATATGTTTAAATTCTTATTTATTGTTTGCTCTTATGATATGTGATATCACAAATAAAACTGGCTACACTGTAATTTGGCTTCGTAATGAACCTATAAGGACTTTAGAAGCCCCTTGTTTTCGAAAAACGGTAATAGCACCTCCATGGCCTTGGCGTAGTACGGATTGATAAAGGTCCTGTAACGGACGGCATCGGCCTCGGGTCCTGGGGCCATCATCATTTTCATGTTAGCGTCCTTGTCGGTGGGCATAAGTGTGGCCGGCATTACACCAAGGGCTGTCAATGGGCCTACAAAACATATACACTAGTAAGTGTATCTAAATAAATATTAAGCCTTAAAGTAAACCCACCCCAGAATCCGTACTTCAGCATCATGATGTGCAGGTCCGTGAGCGTGGGAATTGGTTTCGAGTACTTCAGCCGCCTCAGGCATTCGACCAGTCGCTCGTGATAGATCTGGATGAAGTGGTCGAACTCCTTGATCTTGATGGCCAGCGAGGCAGATGTCGTGATCAGGTACCAGAGGTCCTGGGCCGGACTGCCCCACTTCCCGATCTGCAGGTCCACGAACAAGGTCCTGTCAATCTCCCCGTTGTCCTTGTAGTTGAACATGATGTTGTTGGACCAGCAGTCTCCGTGGTTCAGCACATTGAACTCACTCTCGTCGACCCGGTTGACCTGCAGTGCCGCATCGAAAACCTCCACGGGGCTCCACATCTGGGAGATGTACTTGTCGGCATCCTCCAGGTCCCACTGGCGCATCGCCTTGTAGAACTGCGGCTGCCGTATCTTTCCCAGGGTCTCGAAAAGATTGCGACTCTGCTCGTTGTACATCGAAATGGAATAAAGCGAGTCGTAGGGCCCATTTAATTCCCTGGCCACGACGGATGCGGCATGGAGTTCGGCCAGTTTCCGGAGCACATGACGCATGTGCAGCAGATCAAAGCCCTTGAGTCGATCGAAATTCTTGAAGTTCTGCCGGCTCAGATCCTCGAACACTAGGGTAATCAGTTTGTCTGTGGCCTCCACATGGAGGCATTTGGGCGCCAACTCAATGTCCATGCCCGCCTCCTTGTAAAGCTTCACGAACTGAGGGATGTGGACCTCGTACATTTTCCTTTCCTTCGGAAACAGTCCCATGCCGTCGATAACATCCGCTCCACTGTCCGCTTCCAGCATCGTTTTCAGAATATACGAGATTTTCTGCTCATTCCCATCTGTTAGAAATAAATAGATTATACGTTTAATGCATTTCACTGTATCACTTTATGTAAAAGTATATAATATTGAATTTTGCAATACAGCTTTTTGTAGTAAGCGATTGTAAACTTTAAAAAGGGTCTAACAGAAAACTAAAAGCTAAAAATTTTAGTCTGAGCATAGTATCAATAAATAAAAATTTAAAACTAATGGAGCATAAATTTAGCAAGAGACCTGCATATAAAAAATGTTGCTTAGCCATATTCAAATATTTATAAGTGCCATGATTTTATTTCGTTAAAGCTAAAACATCAAAAAACGCATTTTTAAAGTTATTTTTATTAACTTACCCTTTAGCAGAATATCCACAATGACCCTAATCATAATGGAAGTGTAATTCTCCCCGGGAGCGGTGGCCGCCACGGGCGTAAATTTCACGATTTTGTCGAAGTTTTCAACATCCTTTTCGAGAATTGGCAGGAAATAATCCTCATTCACCCATTTCGGAATGTGCAGGAGCTCGTTGGGATTGAATGGCTTCTCCGAGTTGTTGTTCGGAGACATTATGGCGCTGATGCTGTAATTGTTTGATCAATTAATTCACTATCGGCGGAAACGATCAGCACTTCAAGATCAAATCAATTAAAAACTTTAATTGATTTTCCATTAATCTTAATAACAGTTATCTAAATAGAATGCATATTACGTACAAATCGTAATAGTGTCAAGTATTTAAATGAGCAAGGTCCAAATTTGCTTATATTCAAATTTATTTACTTTTTCTTTAATCAAGATAACACTTTTAGTTGAAACCTTTTAATAATTTTAATGGCCTTAGATATTTAGTTGTTAATTATTCTTCCTTTTCTTATCACATCTTTTACATTCAAAACCTTTGATACAATTTATGGGTGAGTTCGTTTCCTTAAAATATATTGTGTTCTTATTATTGTTTTTATAAATTGTTGTCAACTGATTGATAAGTTTACTCAAGCCCGGAAACGAAAAGAATTTCGACGAATTTCTACAAAAGATTGTTTCCGCGATAAAAATTTCCGTCCCAAGAAATTTGTTTCAATTGTTATTTATTACTGACCGACTTTGTGGATATCTAATTTGAATTTAAATTCCCGCTCAGAGAAGAAACTGCGGCCGTGTCCGACGGTTTCTAACGACAAACAAACACTGAATCCGAGTTATTTATTTTATACTAAGAGACCTCACGACAAGTGTAGCGGTTTATGCACATATATCTATGTATATGTCTGGGCAGAGGTGATAGCACTAACTTGTTTTCGGTTGTGATATTCGGTACGTCGTTGTAAAACAATGGTAACAATAGAACCATGTAATCGGTTTCCATATCTCTGGACAGCAGTTAGCTTAATAGACATCATCGTTGGCCACAAACAAATCAATTTGTAGTATTATCTGTGAGCTGCGTTATAGTTATTTATTTAGTGTTTGTCTTAATATAACTTTTATCTTATGATGTTTTTAAATGTATTTGTATTTCCCACTTTGCCATCCCAAATTTAAGCCAGACTAAATTCTACTTAATTTTGGGGAGTACCTTGAAGCATTGCCAACATATGGACTCAGGTATCTATTGTTTAGTTGATTAGCCATTATTATTGGCAATTAATTAATTTAGAGTCGTGCATCGTGTTCGTGTGACATGGATCTTTCTATTTTTAAATCCCTAATTAAGGTCATTATGGTGAATTATTATGTGTTATCTTCGTATACTCCAGTGGCTGTTAAGTATGGCTGTGCGGGCAGATCTGCATTTGATAACCAATAACCTCAGTAATATTGACTCCAAGAGCCATAGTTGAAAACAGCCATAATTAGAATTCGGTATAGTAGTTCAAAGAAAAGCTTGAGGCACTCCACTAAGGGATCGTGATTAATATAAATGAACAAGACGATGTTGACATAGCTTTCAAGCGGTTACAAAAATTAAATATTCCAGATTTCGATACTTTAAAACCATAAAGCTAGGTCGATTTTCCGACAAATTCCATTGGTCTTATGGTAAAAGCACAGAAAAGTATATTTGAAACAGCTAAAGTCAAAAGTCCCTTTAAAAAATTGTAAGGCACGTCACTATTGACTGGACTGTGGGACTAGACATTCCTTTTAAGTTCTACCAAATTTTTTAAATTTCTATTCTTGTAGAAAATGTTTGTCAAATATAAGTTAGGATGATTAATTTTTCTATTCCTAACTTTTTAGCATTCAATTTACTTTGTCGAAAACGATTGAAAATCAAAAAGCCCTCTATGTTCCATATTTCAGGGTTCCATTTTTGTCACTAACCGACCGTCGGTATATTTTTTGTACTTTTCTATGGCCACACTTGCTCCAAGGTATATTTGCACAACCCAGCCGCGGTCACACTTTTACGCTGCTAGTAATTAGTACACTGTTATTGTTTTGAAAAACATATTTTCCAGTTAAATGACAGCGAATCTATTGAATCTAAATGTGGACACGCTGTTCGAGCAGCACAGCGTGTCCGAGATCGATGCGGTGCACAAGAAGATCCAGTCGGTGGTGGAGAACAAGCGCGAGGAGCTGCGCACCCATGTCGGGTGAGTGATGTGGCACCTCCAGAGGAGTGAACACTTTATTAAATCCACCATGTTATCCTTCAGGGAACGGTACCGGGACCTCCTGCAGGCCGCGGACACCATTGCGGCGATGCAGACTTCGGCGGGCACGCTGATGGAGCAAGTTCGTCACGTGCAGGCCAACTGCCGCAGCCTCAACGAGCAGCAGCTCCTGGGCTTCCAGTCCACCACAAATCCGATTCCCAAAGAGGCGGGACTGCAGCAAAAAAATGCCGGAAGAAAGCTGCAGACCTACTATGGGACCATGGCCCAGATCAAGCTGCTAACCGCCCTGCCGGAACTGATCTGGACGCACCTGGACAACGACCGGTTCTACGCCGCCACCGAGCTCTTCATCTTCAGCCGGCACATTAGCACGGGCTTGCAGCTGGACGGGCAGAGTGCCCTGATGCAGAAACTACCGGTGGCCCGCAAGCAGTGGGAGATCCTGCGTCCCTTCCATGTGACCATCAAACAGGCGGTGCTAGCCGCGCTGGAGAGGGAGGAACTGCTTCCTGAAATGGCCGTGCACTGCCTGCAAAGCCTCCTCCTGCTGGACAAGAGTGATCTAAGTGCTGTGTTGAAAACCTTCCTCGGTCTGCGATCCTCCGCTTTTCTTAACTGCCTGCAGAGCAGACCATCGGAGCCACGTCGCGTGAAGGAACGCATCCTGGCCAGCTTGAGCGTGCTGAACAGCACAGTGGAGCTGTTGGACAAGTGTCTGCTGGGTGAGCTACTATTTATTGACGAAATCTGTTGAACAGGCACACAAGCAATGAGACGAACAGGATTATCAGGAGACACTCCCATTGAAACAGGCCGCTGGCAGAGGAAGTAATTAAATTTTGAGTGTTTTGTACTGCCCTGTAATGCATAACAGTAACCACTGGCTGAGGACTGGACCACTTTGCACCACACGCCTCCAGCAGATCGTCGGTGTAAGTCGATCGGTGCTGCGTACATGTGACGAAGGCGGCTTTCCCCAGACTAACCAACGTGGAATTCTTCTCGATACCATCGAAACACTGGAATTCGGTCCCATTTGTAGGCCAGAGGGTGTGGCAGTGGCTCGTCGCGCGGTTGTGGAAGAGCACAATGTAGACACTTGGCTGTTTGTCCAGGAAGTAAATACCATAGAAATCGCCTCGCTCTATGCGACTGTCGTGGGATTTCTCCTTCAACTTATCCGTGTATTTTCCCGCGCAAAGGAGCCGCAGGGCTCCTTTCAATTCGACGCCGCATCGCCTGGCTAGCTTTAGAGACGAATCCGACATTGTTAGACTCAAAAAGTATTAGGACTCATCGGAAGCTTTAAATATTTGTTTTGTGCCTACTAATTGTATTTCAGAAGTGTGTTATGAGTTACGTTAAAGATTTATCTATTATATCCTATAGGTGAAAGCCTCCTCTTCACACGCCTGGCAGACTGCGCTTCTTCCACGTGCCCACCCAGTATCAGCCGGATGGAAAGCAGTGAGCGACAGCTGTCTCACCTTCTGCCCGAAATTATCGCCGGATTTAGGCCGCAGTTTGAGGTCCGTCAACTAACACCAGAGGAACTCGGCGCATCACTCCAACAGTGGCTAGATAAGATGAACGCTCTGGCTGCGGCTCACCTGCAGCAGGTCTTTGCGCTAGTCAGCAACATGCAGACCATCCAGGACATCAAGTCGGCGGCCAGAGCTAATGGTCGGCCAGATTTTGTACGCTTAGAACAGCAGCTGCATTTAAAGCACAGCCAGTTGGACTTCTACGTCCGAAAGTACGTGCCGCTAATCAACGCCAGAGTGCGGGAGATCATTCGCAGTAGCTGGGCGGCAGCCATGAAGCAGACCTACGAGCAGGTGCTCTCGCTCATTGAGGCCGGTCAGCCGCAATCGCCGCAACAAATTTGGCGCGAGCAGAGTGACGATTTGCCTTTAAGCTTGGCGGCGGCTCTCAGCAATAAACCAAAGCGGCTGGCCAATCGGACAAAGGGTTATGATGGCGCAACCATGGATCTGTGCAAACATTTTGACTCTCACCTTGCCGATATTGTTCAGGAGCTGAATGTGATGCTACAGGAGCAAACGACGCGGTCGGAGGATAAAATTTCGCTAATTCAGTTTCTGCGCGAAACTGCCGAGGAACAGCTGACGGAGTATTTAACCAACCTGAGGAGCCTACAGCTTAAAGAGCGCCCTGCTTTGCTTTTGGCATTGCGCAATAGCCTTGCCTTGGTGGAACTGTGCCCCAATTTGAAACTCTGCTTCTGTCAGCCCTCAAGTTGGCGGCAGTGGACTGGCAACACGGCAGGAGTGGGAATCGAGCACTGGCAGCGCATGTGCGGGCTGATTGAGGAGGAGATGCTAACCTTTTGGTTACTCATCGTTGACGACGTGCTGGCCGGACACAATTGCGAGGAGAAGTTGCCGAAGGTCATTAATCATGAAGTGGTTCTGAGCGATTTCGCGGTAATTAAATCAATAAATTTTTTTTGAAAAATTCAAATTTGTAATTTCCTCTCTAGCTCTGGCAGACCTTGACTTTGGAGCAACGTGATGAGGACCAGGAGCAGAGTGTTCAATCAACTATTCGCATTCCCAGTCAGCCGCGCCTTTCTCTACAGACGTATCTCCATCAATTAATTCACGCCTTAAACCACGCTGTTCCGCAAACACTGCCGCCCAAAGTATTGCAAGGGTTCATCCAGCGACTTTTGGGAACACTGCTTACCCATTATGAGGGATTAGGCAATGCCGAGTGCACAAAATCAAGCCAAAACATTGCCCTGCAGTTGTACTTTGACCTAAAGTTCCTGGAGCGCGTCTTCGTCATCTCCCGCGAGGAACGGGTTCTGTACGATCAGATCCACTCCCAGCAGAACAAGCTACGCGACTGCATTGATCCGTTTGACTTTGAGCTATTTGCCGAACACATCACCGCGCATGTGACTAGAGCTTCAAGCCGTCTTCAGGGCGAACTGGGAGTGCTTACTCCGACGACTGTGTCACCAAGTCAAGGCCCAACGGCAGCCAGTACTTTGGCCCATGAAGCCGATCCAAATGTGCTGTGCCTCAGCTCATCCGGATCCACGTCGCTATGGTTCCCCCTGCTGCCCATTGTGATGCCCCAAGCTGGCGGAAGAGTTGCTGGCGTTGAAAGAAAATCCCTAGCCCAAGAGCCTGCGGAGAAAGTGAGTAAACAGCTGATGATGTACGGGGCTGTCGGGTTTTAATTAAAAATAATTGGTTTAATTTTGATTTGCCTACTTGTTCTGTTTTTTTTTAACTTTAAAGTTTGAAATCATATTATTTCGTTATCGAATAATAGTCGGTTCCATTTTTCTAATTTATATGGCTAGGTCTATAGCCATCATTGATTGAACTCCTGAACAACTAGCAAGCAAATCGAAAATTGTATCTGTATTTACAAAATAGGAACAAAGAGCCCACAGCCCCAATATATCTCTTCTTTTAGCTCCGTATAAACTTTATCAAGTTATTGTCTGTTCCTATGTTTCTTTCCTAGGATTTCTTTCGATTGCAATCCTAAGTCAATAGTTTCAACATTTGCTCTCGTTGGGTAGGAATGGTATTTGATAGTTGATATTTTGTTATCATTCCTCGTTTGCATGCTGCATGATTATAATTGTTTAACCAATATTCTGAGTGAGCAGAAATTCGCCCTTTGCTCTTATTAGATACTTCATTTGCGAATTTGAAAACCTCTTCAAACTGAAGCAGCAGTTTAATTAAACTAATTTGGTCCATCCAGCAATAAATAAACCAGAATGCCGCAAGACAAATTTTAATTAGGTGCAACTTTCCGCCCGTCCTCTGCTGCTGCTTCTCCACTTCGCCCGCAAGTGCTTGGCAAAAGTTTCGCCTGAAACCCAAACCGAAATTTCCAAGTGGATGGCCAGAACATCGGCAAAATGATTGTGTATATATTATAACCGCGTGTGCGAGTGCCTTAGATGCTAATTAATGAATCGCTGCAATTATTGAAATCAAATCGCTGGGCAAATGTTAATTTATGGCCGCGGCTACTTGGCCGTTACTCGCATGTTTTGTAATTAGCTGCGATCTCCTCCGGTATAAATCGTTCTCTAATTATGTATGTCTGCTTTCGGTTTGCCGTTTGTTGTTCGCCATAAATCTGAGAGTCCAACCGCAAATTAACAGATTAATCAGACAAACTACCAATTAATAGTCCTAATTAATTAATAACATTTCTCTTTATCCCTCTATCTCTGCTTTCACCCCAAGATGACGACAACGACACCGACGAGGAAGTCGGGAGGCAATGGAGCCCGCAAGGGAGATAGTAGCAAATCCAAATCGAGCGCAGCTTCCTTCTTCGGGATGTCCCAGGAGTGGTTTCGCTAGAGGAGACAGATCAAGTGGGCTGTGAAGTGCAACCGAGTGGAATGCGGAATACGGAATACGGAACTGAACACGGAACCCTCTATGCACTGTTCCATTGTTAAGCTGAGCATTCGAAATGTTTAACCTTTATCCAAATAGATTTGTAAAATGGGCGGGCACCGCCAAATAATTGTAAGAGAGTCACATACATTATAGATACATATTCCCTGATATCAGTTTTAATTTCACCTTAACTCTAAATTTGTAATTTTTTAATGCGCTTTGATGTTGCCACCGTTGCTATTTCTTGCCTCCTTTCTTGCCACCGCCTGCGGCTGCCTTTTGGTCTTGTCCTTTCTTGGCTCCGCCTTTGTCGCCACCGCCTCCGTCGCCGCCTTTGTTTTTATTTCCGGATCCACCTCCGCCTCCTCCGCCACCGCCGCCGCCCTTTTTCTGTGGGCAAAGAAACAAGGAAGGATTTCTCTTTGAGCTGGGACTGAGCAAATAATGAGCCACGGTTGTTTAAAGTTGCGGAGCAAAGTCAGTAAATGAGAAAAAGGTTAGTTGCGCCAGAATTGCAATGACGGTTATTCCAAAGGGTTAGAATTTTCCTAATTACATAAAAAAGTTGAAGGAAATAAATTAATTATTCTGTCCATAATCTATCCATAAGAATTTAATTAACTCTCTAGCAGTCAGTCAACTACAAATACTTTCGTTTAGATTAAATATTGATTACAAATTTAATTTGAAAATTAAATTCATTCAGATTCAACACAAACAAATTAGGCACTAATTTCAAAAATTTGTGTAATATACTCATGTGTGAAAATGGTTAGGTCTGGTTAATATTATGAAGTTTTCAATTTGTCACTTAGAAGCTTTATTTTCTGTTATGACTAAACCAAATAAGCAATAAGATGAAGATTATAAGTAGTTAGACTCACAATTAGTACGCAAGTTGCATAACACAAATATTGCTTACATTGCCGCCGCCACCGCCTCCTCCTCCCCCCGCCACCCCCTCCTCCACCGCCGCCGCCGCCTTTATTTTTACCCATTCTATCAACTTCGCAGGACAGCAATTATTAAATTTATTTGGTTTAGTTTCTGGGGCTTGCTGTTGGTTTTCAGCACGAGCAAACTTTGGCCGCAGCTGGCAAATTGCAACTAATAAGCATCGCCATTGTCGCAAAGCGAAATGCATGAAATTAAATCATTGGCCAGGAAAAGAAGGCCAAAATAAACGTTGAGAGCAAAACACAAAATGGGCAACAGCCGATGGCGGAAAGCGGCAGGGAAGGCGCCAATGCTTTTCGGGCTGGCTTTGCGAGGTGAGGATGGGACGGGATGGGCAGGGGGATTTGGCCCCGGGTCGAGCACAACTGCCTGCAGTGGCCAATGGCTCTTAACTGATTTAATCATCGCCCTGGCACCTCTCTCTGCGGCCGGAAGAAATGGGAAGTGGTTCTCTCGCGGCGACTGTTGGATTATTTTGTAGTGCTTCCCTTCCTCTTTTTGGCACTTTCGTTTCGCCTCTGTTTCGGCTTCTGCATTTGCATTTGCCCATATCCGCCCCGCTCCGCCCACCTGTCCCCAAGGCCACGGCATTGACATTGGCCACCTCCCGCGTTTCTGGTTTTTGTGGCCAATGGAAGGCAATACGTATCCGTCGATAATCCCACGGCTCAGTCGCGAATCCCACGGATACGAGCAGTGCAACAAGGCGGTATTTATAGATGCAATGAGAATCGAGAAGATAGCCGGGGCTAAGAGAGATTTTAGGATTTCGATGGGAAAGAAATGGTCAAAGGGGCGATTGAAAGCGTTTATACATGCAGAAAGATTTAGCAAGGCAGAAATGGTTAGATTATGTGGATATACTAGCGGATAACTAAATTGATTTTACGATCAATATGCACAGGTGGGAATTCATGAATGAATTTCAAATAACAGCCATGGAATAAAACTACTATTTTTAGACGGATTATTTTGTTTGGACTCAATATAAAAGCTATCGACAGAAAACTTCACAAACCATTTTTGTACGTGTACGCATATCAAATAAAACATAAATATCTACAAACTTCTGTGTAGGTTATAAATGTCTTATTTGCGATGCTTGCAATCAATATAATAACTAGAATTAAAGTTAACCATTTTGTGTATTAGTCACAATCTTAGAAGTTATTATTGTAAAACAGATACTGCAAAATCCAACATAAATTAAATATTTGCATCCTTTAAACACTATTCGTTAATTACTACACCAGTTTACCAAGACGATTCCGACGATTAAAGTTTCAGCTCCCACTAACCGCAGAATTTAAAAGTTATCGACAGAAATCTTTGCCAATCTATTTTTTCACTGTACTTTGTTTTGTATGTGTATGCATATAAAATTTAAATATTTATCTCCTAAACTATTTGAATGGTAATAAATGTCAAATAACACATTTTTAACACACACACTAAGGATGCATTCAAAACAATAACTAGATAACTAGAAGTTCCCCATTATGTGTTAGATTTATTATTATTTTGTAAAGTTTTTACTGCAAATAAACTTGAACATAAATTTAATAAGTTAAATCCTCAAAGCATACTGTGCATATTTCCTTTTAGTCTTTTCTTTAATTACTACACCAGTTCGCCAGGTTGATCCCTAATTGGAATGGAATACATTTAACGAATTTCCACCTGCCTGCGTCGCAAAGAAAACTGACCGAGTCTGATTTTCTTCATATGCTAATTACAGTTATCAAAAAGTTTCTCTGTCTCTGCCACTGGACACTGGAAACTCAATGCATACATAATGAGACCTTCTACTTTTCCTGCAGCTCTTCCTCCGGTTTCCCTGTGTTTCTCCACCAGATGTTGGGTTCAGCGAGCAACAGAGAGAAAGATAAAAATACAGGATGTCAGCTAATTAAATTAGATGTTTCATATGGCGAGCCGTAAGTGAAACCGATATCACCCGATGAAACTGAAAGCCCCGAGGAGAACTCAACAAGTCGAAATCTGCACATGGCAGCGAGCATTAGACCAAATTAGAAGTGAAAAGTATGAAATAAGCTCATAAAATTACGCTCACACATGCTCCGGGCGGCGTTTCGAGGATTCTGGGGGAGAATGACCTCCACCCGGAGGCGAGGCCAACAAAGTCGCAAGTCCGGACATTTGCTGCAGGTGCGGCAGGCGAAACTTGCACCTGAAAGATAAACCCGCAGGACCAGGGGGTCGGGGGGAGTTGGGAGTTGGACGGACACTTTGAATTTAAACGAAATGGGCGGACTTTCTGGGACTGGCTGAGTACATACGGAAAAGCGAGATAGCGACAGATAGCCGGGATAAGTAAGGAGTTGGCTCTGTAAAAGTGCGGAACTTTAATTAAGTTTTGGTTCTCCCAGCTGACTGACATCTTGAATTACAAATGAAAAACTTGTGTGCAGCAGCAGAAGGAAAAGCAGCCAAAGGAAACGGGCCAAAAATAAGCGACGTAGAAAAGGGCAGCAAAAAAATGTAAGGGAATAGGAATAGGAAAAACCAGTGCATAATAACACACTGAGCTGCAAGAGGTGGAGCTGCAGCAAAAAGTAGTTCCTGCAACAGAATGCGAATAAGTTGCACAGCCAGCAGTTCACGGAAGGAAAATAAAGAAAAGCCCCGACGGATGGCCACCAGCGCGGAATCACTGGGCGGGAAACCCAAACAACTACCTTAGCCAGTTAGCTAGTTAGCCGCCATAAGAATACCCAACTCACTGGGACCGCGAATATCTTCCGACTGGCCGGCCCTTAAAGTACGGGTGTCCCGAAAATCGAACAAGAGCGCAGCTACAAAAAATAGTTTCATTCATTCCCAGCAAAGGAAGCTCTGCCGCCAATGTCTGGCTACGAAATACCCTAAGATAACCCCTTCCCGATTATCAAATTCCATTTCCTCTCACTTTAGGTAATTCCCACCTACTATGACGTCTGCAAATGATAGTTTCTGCTTGGAAAAACTAATTCCGTACTTATAATTATAAACCGATAAGATTAGTTCAATCAAATCAAAGTGCAGCGCCTGTAATGTCCAGTACATAAGTCGCCGGCGAAACCTTATCAAACGTCTATTAAGCTATCACCATTAAGCCCGAACTGAAAGCATGGGCTTAGTAGCTAAATGTAATTATTTTCTAAAAAAACCCATTCGAACAATTCTGTAAACATGCTTTGGTTTGAATGAGATTAGATGGTCTATTCAAAAATATTTAATCATTAAACGATTAATAATTTGGTAATAAAGAATTCCGCAGTTTAGTAGTGTGTATTCTGCCATATCAGATACATTTATATTTACCCAGGTAAAAAACATTTATGCTGAAGAGCAACCGCAGGTCTGCTGTAACCGGAACTTCATCCACAACCGAACTTCATCATCGGCAGCCTTGCCACAGAATTTGGTTTTAGTTCACGTGCCACCGGGAACGGAAAGTTGATTTTCTCTGCCGACTGCCATAGCTGGAAAATCAGGAAACAGATGTTTGCAAATATCTTGCGAGAGAACTTTTTCGCCAAGGTATTTAAATAACGTTTTCGCTGCACCAACTTTTTGTCAGCCGCAGCGCAGAAAAGGGAAAATAAAAGCCAAAATGTAAAGAAAGCACTGAGATCTGGTCGAAAGAAAACCCATTCAATTGCACTGAATTGGTTAGATTTCGTTTGGAGGGAATTTCCTGAATTATCATGGTGCTGTTGAATGGAATATCATGTTGTATTCATATCGAAAAGAAGGCCAAATATATCTTGAAGTAGCCCCAAAGTAAACACTTTATGAGCGCGTGTCAATACCGATAATCCACTGGTGACTAATTAAAATGTTGGAAAAAAATCCTCAAACTTTCCATTCCGTTCCCGGTATCACACATTTGGAAGTCATGAGGTATTTCTGGTTCAAGGTCCAAAGTTCGTTTACCGAACTTAAGATACCCCTTCAAAGAGTTCCAAGAGTCTTCATACTTTTGTAAATATGCACCTAGCGCCACAGGGTCTTTCCTTATAATACTGTCTTTTATAATCCACAACCCGGAATGAAAGATATAACGCCTAAGCAATTAGGGTCGTTGCCATTGACTGGCTATTGCCAAATTTTAATAACTCTTATCACGACTAAGGACACCCTTCAATTAAAGAACCCAGCGCACGCTATCTGATAAGTGTCAATAAGTATATGCATAAATCCGACTCTGGTGGTCAACTTTGGCCAATACCTTTTATCTTTCATTGATACCTTGCACTTACCCTAGGCCATGCTTATCGGTTCCAGATAAGCCCCTTGGGGATCCGTGTCTTTATAAGTAGCCCCCCGAGTGAATAGCTCCACAGATAGCGGCCGATCTTTCGGGTGTGCATTCAGACTTTATTGCAGCGACAATGTCCAAGTTACCTTGCAGTTACGATGCGGAGAACAAGATCTGGAAGGGTATTCCGCAGAACAACCCCTTCAAGCCTGAGGTTTCCTTGGGTCGCATCATCTTTAAGAACATGAGGAACTGGCCCAAGAATGTGTGCCAGGTGAGTGAACTAGGATCCGTAATGCTCCCCAGACATCCTTAATCGATAGTGGATCCTCAGATTTCGGACACCGAGGGCGTTGAGGTCACCTTCCAGCAGGCCCTCACCTGGGCCATCCGCATCGCCCAGCACCTGAAGAGCCGTGGTCTTGACCACAAGGATATCATCGGCATCTCCGCCAGGAACACCACCTACATAATGCCAACGGCCGTGGCCTGTTTCTTCCATGGCACTCCCTTCCAGTCGGCGAACCCTATTCTCGAAGAATGTACGTATTTACTAGCTTAATATTTTTTGGATTTTAGACTTTAGTTCAGAGTGTATTACAATTTTAAACAGAAACTTACAACCCAGTTGATAAGATATTATCGTATATATAAAGTATGTGTATTCTTGATCAGTATCATCAGCCGAGTTGATCTATACATGTCCGTGTGTCCGTATGTTAGTTCTTCGAAAACTAGTCTCTCAGTTTCCTTTTATTAAATTAAGTAAGTATTTTGGAATGATCTGAAAGGTAATATTAAAATTGGCATAACTTTATTGTTTCTAAGACACGCATGGAACTCAAGATAGTAACAGTTTACGGTTTCAAAAATTACGTTTTGGTTTCATAAAAATCGGAAATAATTAGGTTTTAATAAAGGTAAAATGCAGACCTTTGGTTAATTAAAAATGAGGTTATAGTATTCTTCCTTATCATATCTGGTGTGATATTAAAGAATAGTATTAAACAATTTTATGACGTGAAATAGGTATAGGATTACCGAAGCAGCTTCCTTTGACGTTTTTTTTAGTTTTAAACTATTAACATATGTACAAGAAAATAATTGTATACATAACTCTACTTTTGGAATACCTTCATTAAATATTTACAAATTATTTGCTTATTCTTTCTTCCAGCCACCCTTAAGCACTTGTATAATATCTCCAGGCCAAAGATCATCTTTACCGATGCTGATCATTATGAGAAACTATACTCGGCTACTAGCGAATTCAAGCCAGAGATTATTTTAACCACCGGAACTAAGGATGGTGTGCTCAGCATTCAGGATCTGCTTCATCCGACCAAGACGGAGTTCTTCTATCAGTGAGTTTGGAATACAGAAAAGTTTGTAGGATATAGGATATTTATTTTCCATATTTGTTAGACCAACGCCGCTGAAGGAGGGACCCAAGCAGACAGTGGCGATCCTCACCTCTTCGGGAACCACTGGAATGCCCAAGGCCGTGTGCATCTCCAATGATATTCTAAGCCAAGAGACAATGTAAGTTCCCTAAATTTCCATATTTATTATACGATATTACTAGAACAAAAACTTTAATCATAGCTAATCATGATTATGATTTTTAATACCTACAATGGAAAAAGCAAATGGCAATATGCCATCGGTTTTTATACCCTTGCAGAGGGTATTATAATTTTGGTCAAGAGTGTGCAACGCAGTGAAGGAGACATCTCCGACCCTATAAAGTATATATATTCTTGATCAGGATCACCTCCTGAGTTGATATAGCCATGTCCGTCTGTCCGTCTGTCTGTTTCTACGCAAACTAGTCTCTCAGTTTTAAAGATATCGAATTGAAACTTTGCATACACACCCTTCTTTCCTTTGCACGCAGTATATAAGTCGGAACGGCCGGGATCGGCCGACTATATCCTATAGCTGCCATATAACTGATTGATCGGAAATACCATAACTTTGGTGTTTGTAAAGTTAGAAAGTTGGAATTTTCTATAGGTTTTATTTTTGGCCAATCAATCCGACTGACCAAATTTCATAAGGATCGGACTGAACGATCGGAAATGCTATAACTTTGGTGTTTTTAAAGTTAGGAAGTTGGGATTTTTTATGAGTATTACGAATGCATCATATGAATAATTTTGAAGAATATAATTTACAGAGTATTCTGCAAGGGTATATCAACTTCGGCTCCGCCCGAAGTTAGCTTTCCTTTCTTGTTTATAATATAATAATGTGTAACGATTTACCAAAGAATCGTTACACATTATTTAATTTTCACCATAAAGCTATACCTTCCCTTTGCTGGTGAAAGTGATTCCTGTAATAAGGAAAAACCACCTTCACATATGAGTTCTGTATAAAAACTGATTTAATTTTACAAAGTCTTCGCTTACGTAACTAACATGAAATTCTTGTAATATACGTATGTATCTATGGTCTACGCAGAGACCACATCTGTTTGCCTAAGCGGGAGCCCTATTAACGGTCTCCCGCGAGGCGACCCTTTGTACAGTGTGAGAATTATATTTATGGTCAGGCTCAAATGGCCTGTACTTAAGATTACAATTGTTCGGTAGGTTTTAAGTCACAGATTGTTATTTACGGCTCTAGATAGATTTACATATTGACAGAACCACAGCTCGTAAAATCTTATATTTATGACAATTAGTGTTCTTCTTGAACAGCTGGTAAGAGCTGTAGTAAATGATATTTTTATGAATCTATACAGAAAGATGTCTACTTATCTTTACCTCAAAAAGTCTTGGCTTTGGCGGTGTTTTTATAAATAAAAGATATTTTGCCAAAGATAAGCCACTGCTTTTTATCACTCTCATTCCTTTTTTGTAGTGGCCAAATGAAAGAGCACCTTAAGTATTATTATTATTTGTTTTTGCGTGCCAAACTAAATGAGTTATTATGGTTTCCTACAGATTTGTCAATGGCTACGACACCATCTTCATTTCGGCCAGTTTGGACTGGATCACTGGGCTGTGGGCCACCATCTTCAGCACGGTGAACGGGTGCACCCGCATCATCAGCAGCAAGCCCTTCTCCGCCGAATACTTTGTGTACCTGGTGAGCAAGTACGGCATTACCTATGCCCTGATTCCGCCGGAGCACTGCTGCTCGCTGCTGGACTGCCCCACCGCCACTCCGGACAAGATGGTCAGCCTGACCAAGCTGAACTTCGGAGGCGGACGGATGACACAGGCCACGGTGGAGCGAATCAAGAAGCTCGCCCCCAACGGAGTGCTCAACTCCTCGTACGGCATGACCGAGGTTGGCTTCATTGTGTTCAACCACGGACACTTGAAGCTCACTGCTGCTGGCAACCCTCTGCCTGGCATCAAGATCAAGATCTTGGACGACGACGGCAACCAACTGGGGGTCAACCAGACGGGCGAGATCGTCGTGCACAACGGCTTCAACTGGAACGGGTACTTCGCGGATCCCGTGGCCACGAAGGAGATGCAAGACGAGGAGGGCTGGTTCCACACCGGCGACATGGGCTACTTCGACGAGGACGACTATCTGTACATGACGGACCGCAAGAAGGAGGTGCTCAAGTGGAAGGGTCTGCAGATGTGGCCCGCTGAGGTGGAGGCGGTTATCGACGAGCTGCCGGAGGTGAAGCGGGTGTGCGTGATCGGGGTCTACGACGAGACCCAGGGCGATGTGCCCGGTGCCCTTGTCGTCCGGGAGGACAATGCCACCCTCACCGCCCAGCAGGTGATCGACCATGTGGCGAAGCGACTGCCCGACATCCAGAAACAGATGCGCGCCGGCGTCCAGTTCGCGGACGAGATTCCCCAGAACCACAATGGCAAGGCGGTCCGCCGTTACGCCCGCGATCTGTTCGTCGCCCTGTCCAAGAAGAACTGAGAACTGCCCGAGCTTTAATTTGGAATAATCTAGCCTTGTTTAAGTTTGTTTAGTTAGGGTAACTTTCTGTTTTGTTGGCTTTGATTTGCCCTTCGAAAGCTTCTCGAAAGTCGCCCACAACCTCCGCTTCTCAGAATACTGTCGATGTGCACTTATCAAATAAAGTAAAATGCTGAAGTAGTAAAACGTTCAATATTTCTGTACTGAAGTACATTACAGATAAATAGTATGCTAATATGTTGACTTGATTTATTTGTTAGCTAATAAACCAATTATTATGTTTCATTTAAAAATATAAAAAAATTTGTTGTCATGTCAAGGAAAAGAGAATGATGGTTTAAGTGCTTAGATTTGGAGTCATTTTTGTCCCAGGGAAATAAACTTTAAGTTTTTGTGTTTTTTTGTATTCCTTTAATTGCCTTATATAATGATTTATGGGCATTCATGAAATAAAGAAAATGCTAATGTATATAAACATGGAGTAAATGATTGGTATGCCAAATTTATGAGTTTTTGATTATAGAGCAAGTCTATCATTTGGGTTTTAAAAAAAATTTCGATTGATTTATTTTTCAGCAATGAATAATATTTTATTTGTAATTTTCCTTTGCAAATATTTCAAAGATTTCTGTCAATTTAAGAGGCAGAGTGATTGATAGCCTCGAATTGAATTGAATTTTACTTTTATGAAACAAATCACTTGTAGTTATTTTGTTCATCCGCCTTGTACATATCTAACCGGGGTCAAGGGCATGTCACAAATCTCTTCGAAATATCCCCAGCCCAAGTAACATTCAAAAAACAATTGCCGTCAACATTTGATTAGCGTTGCCATCCCATCAATTTGGTTATAAAAATATTGTGTGAGTTTGGGCGGGAATTTGGGCCATAACTCAACTGGAATTGTGTCGCTGCTTCTTTATGGCTAAACACTTTCATTGGGTAAACAAAGAATTGCCATTTTGCGTCAAGGGCCGTGACTCCTCCCACGGAATGAAAAATCATTTTATTTAGTCATAAAAATCGCACGCATGGAATTGGCAAGGGGAGTGGCATCTGGAGGGTTACGGGTGCCAAATCACGGGGGCCGCACAAAAAGAAGCTTTTCACGAAATTAAAGGTAAATAAAATGTTTATGAGTGGAGAGCGCTCATATGATTTCACATTCGATTGAATAACATTTACACACGCAAGCGAGCACCACGAAGGAATCGCAATCTGCACCCGGATCTCCATCCTCCGGTCCCCGCATCCGTGGAGTCCGGGAATCCGGAAATCCGGGAAGGGATAGCAGGCACCGGCACCCAAAGACGGGCAATAAATTCAAACATGTGCACATAAATTTTTATTTCGATTTGCTGAGCCGCTGTCAGTGCCGTTCCTCCCCCCCCCCCCCGCCCCCGCCCCCGCCCCCACAGCCCCTCGCCCACCATTCGGTTTTATGAACTGTGAATATGCGCATGATGAAGTTGCCAAAGGATCTCGGCGGAAGTGAATCGTTCGGCATGCGGTTCAGTCACTGTGCGTGTGTCTGTGGGCGCCCGTCAAAAGGAGGGGTTGCAGGAGTGAAATGTCAACGGCATCACAAATTATTGCATCTCGGTGTGTCGGGAATCAGGCGATGGACAAAATGCTCGATTTATCGTCAAAAAAGGGAATCCACCTTAAGTTATTTAACCCTGATTTCTTATATATGTATATATATATATTTTTTACATAATCTTAATAAATCTAAAATTGTGCAAGCATGTCTTTGATTTTCGTCGATTTATTTAGATCCCTTAAGCAATCAAATCAATTAGTTTGTCAGTTAAGTCAATTTGTCTATGCAATTTCTAAAAATATAAAGCATCATGATATTCAGATCTTGTCCATAAAATTCAAACGTTTTTTTACTCTAATCATTGCAGACAAAAATGAAAGATCTTTAATTTGTCATTTCGATAGCACATATCGCTATCGAATTTATTTCTTAGAAACACACAGTGTTAGTTGGTGTTTTCATGAAAAGCTTAAAGTGAGTTAAACTGAGAAATCGTAGAAACTTACCATGAGTCGAGAATTGTGGGGCTTCTCAGGAACACATATTTGCTTTATAAGTATATTTTATTTTAAAGAAAATAAAATTCAGCTATCATCTTTAAATTTAGCTTAACGTAAATACAGAAATGGGGACCCCTTTTTTATTTGAATATATTTTCCAGATACCTTAAATTGCATAGTTTTATTTAATGTCCTCAAAATCAACCGTTTCGTCCACTGTTAGAACAGCGAAATCAGTGGGAGCAGTGACACGGGGAGAAATCGAAGCCGTCAGTCAATTGACTTGGCTAAGCGAGGGGATGGGAATGAGGAAGTCGGCAAACGATCCCCCCGCCTGCATAAGTCAAATATCGAAAATGTCAACTCCTGATTGAAGACCCCCAAAAGCCGAGCTGCAGCAGTTCAATCAAGCTTGAAATATGCAGAAATCAGGAAATGGTTTAGGGCGACACAAAAAAAATATGCAAAAAAGTCCAGATGACCTTTGCCTCTTGTGAGAATTGAACTCACGGCCCCTGGTTTACAAGACCAGTGCTCTGCCACTGAGCTAAAGAGGCTCACATTTGGCAGGCGGGGAAAAAGCCAATTTAAGAGACCTTTTAAGATGTGCTCTAAGCAAAACAGTTGTCTCCCCCCAAAAACGAACAATAAACATGTGTTTAAACAGTTGTCAACTGATAACTGCTCCAGTTCGGAGTGACACCGAAAGGTACACAAGTATCCATTCATTTGGGCAATCACTCAGTTGCGTTGGCTAATTAAAACCCCAATTAGCAGCTGCCCGAGATGCAGTTTTCAATTTTCCCAACTGTCTGTCTTGCGTCTCGTTGTGACGGTAATTGAAAGACTGGCGCACTGAGGCAAATACAGCACTCGCTCGCTCGGGTTCGTTTATTTGGCAATTTGGCAAATCAATCGCCTGAACTGAATAAGCTGCCACACTTCGGCAGCGTCATCACCTGAGATGTATCTGCGATTGGGCGCTTGTCGCGTTTCATCAGACATATCTCCGAATGCCAGACACCGCAAAAGTAATTGGCGCAATCAATGAAATTAATTGCACGCATCGAAATCTTGTGTGATCTTTGTCAAACTCATTTGCGGTAACAGCTGGGGAGAAATTGCAACCACAGGCTAAACTCGAAAGGAAACACTGTGGCTTATGCCACAACAAAACTGACCGATTTGGTTTCTCTACAGTACACTATTATTTTTCCATTGGTTGTTGCTTAAACACATTCAGCTTAAATATTTAGATGTGTGCCCAACAGCCCTGCATTATTCCTAGAGCACTCACTTAGCCTGGGGTCATAATTCACCAGAGTGGCTCAGCCTTAAGAATAAAGCAAACACTCTCGAGTGCAAGAGGCAATGGAAGGAGGGGCAGAACAATTTCAAAGCCAGTTGGAGCAACTTATAAAGTGCAGAAACACGTATACGCACCGTTGCATCAGCAGATTATCTGGCTGCAACAGCAGCATACTTAACAACTATTTATCGAGTTTTTCAATATTTTTAATGCCACTTTAAATACTTGACGCGATTATTTTCCACCGATTTTGCTTTGCATACATACAAATACCCATATATATATATAAATTTGTATATATATATAGACCCGTTTCCCCTTCAGCCAGCACTTTTTGATCCCGCGAAAGTAAAGTTTCAAGTGCCAAACACACGCAAACTTTTTGCTCTGTTGCAGCAGCATGCAAGTTTGCTGCCACCGAGAGACATAAAACTTTTATAGAAGTTATTAAAAGTGCGACGAAATGAAGGAGGGGCTGGACTGGTGGAAGGCGGGATGCAGCAGATCTGGTAGCAGGCTTCAGCGCCAAAGAGTTGAGAGAAAGAGTGAGAAATGATTCATTTGCCATTCAATAAATCTTCGCTTTACTTTACTACACCGGCCAGATGGCTGGCAGTTCTCCCTTTCCCACACTCAAAATAATCTAACTGCCAAGCACAGAAAATATACCTAAGCACTTAATAATAATAACTTAGTGATTTTATCTTTTTAATTAGATGTTTGGTATCTTCAATCCAGTAAAACAAAATATTTCTTCTGAAAGATTGGTTTCTTGGTTTATCCTATGCGGCTCATGGAAAATTATTTTTGATACAAATTTTAATAATACCTGTATACTTTTATAGTTTGTCATTTACAAAAGCTGGTAATAGTTCTCATCTTCCATCAAATAGTTATTGACTTTTAGTTTATTTAATATCAATAATTTATAATTCATAATTAATTAATAAGAATAATTTTTTCTTTGAGTTCATTCGCTGTTCTCGGTTTTCGTGATGCTGCATCGGACGGACGCTTTAAGTAATGACCATCAACGGCTGGACGCCGACGGCGCCAGTTTGTACATTGTTATCTGCTAAGGACTGCGGGACTTTACGCCGAGACCAAGGTGCAAGGACCAACCCAACCCTTTCCGAACTCTACATCCATATCCCCTGTCCCTTCCCGCTCCCATTCATTATTCAAACGCATTAACAGAAGTTGTCCGGCTCGCCTCGGCTGGAGCAGGACAATTTTCGTGATATCCTTGACTTGGCATAACTTTGTCCGAGGAGCCCAGGGCTGGTCGGATCCGGCTGTTCCTGCCCTCCTGCCAGGCACTCCGCCTGCTCCTGGTCCTGCAAAAAGTTTCCCTGCTGCACTCGAACAATAACAGAGCCAAGTATTTAAATGCAAATTAGCCCCAAATGATGCAATCATAATGCAAGTGGCTCCAGGACAAGACCTAAGGGTTCGAGGGAACTGGGTCTGAGGAGGAGGGAAATAGGAAGCGATGGGGATAAAACGGTTAGGAGACTGTTCCTGTACTATGTTCGCTTTTAATTTCCACTTGCCTGGGCTCATTTAGCACAATTTGGCAGCCACTCATAATTTCCACTTCTTTTTCTTGCGCTCAAATTAATTTCCACCTCTGTTTTATCCCACCCAGTTGCTATACTGAGTTTGCAGGGGCTCGTTATGGGTGCGGAAGATAAATGCATTCCAACACATGTTGTTGAAAGTTAATTTCCGAAAACGTTGCTCATTTATTGTTAAATGTACATTTAGTTTTCTTTCGTCGCTTCGCCTCCTTTTTTACGTTCCGACTGTGGTAATGCCTTTTTGATGGTTGGACTCAGGCATTTCTTGCCTGATGCAGTTTAAATGAGCTGAGCGCTCGAGTTGGTCAAGCCTTTGAAGTGGCCCAGACCGGAATTATTCAAATGCGTTCTCGCATTCCCACGGAATTGCCAGAGTTCAAATCTTTAGCCCACAGCAAACTATTTCCAGCTGCTGCAAAAATGGCCAAAACTTGGCAATCGAATGCCCGTCTCGGCCACAAACACAATCAGCTGGCTCCTGAAATGAGCAACTTGAGAATTGAACTCGATGCCAGAACAAAGAGCACACAATCCGGGTGGGAAGGAGCAACTTTTGGTGTTATAATCTCTACCAAATTTAAGTGCTCTTGATATTGCTAATTAACACACAGCCATTCACACATGCATGGAAGCCATTTACGAAATTGGAAAAACAAAGACAACGGGCCACCGAAGACTTTTTGCGCTCTGGTCGTAGAGTGTAATTGTGATTGGGTTGGTGTTGGCTGGCAGTTCATTATTTGGCCAGCTGCTTCTGGATCAGATCCTTCGTGGGATTCGGGGCTGCACTTGGATGTGTTCCAACGAGTTCCGTTCGTTTTTGGTTCAGTAAGGCACTGCGACGGGGAGTATGCGTGATATGTGCGACAACAATGCAAGCCGAGAAATTTCGAAGAAACTTTTTAGACATCCAGTGTCTGTCTTTGGGGTGGAATCTGGCAATGAACGCTTGAGAACACACTTTAAAGTCCATTAGCGTTGAGTGGCCGCAAAGGCAGCAGCTCCAAGAACCCAATCAAACAATTGCAAGACGCATTGCATATTTATTTATGTATATTCGAATGTATTACAGAGGTATATTTAGCAGAATTTATTCAATTGACAAACTTCCAGTCTGCGACATTTGGTAGATGAAAATATGGCCACACAAAGAACGAAAATTTGTCTATTATTTGTGTTACTTTGCGGTTGTCAAAATATTGATTCCTCTATAAAGCAAAGGAAAAATCCTTTTTCGCTTTTTATTGCTGGTACTTTATTGAAGTTTTGTGGCAGAGAAGAAGCCAAGAGATATTCCATGAAATATTGTAACTGCTGCAAATTATCGTTCTTCGTTGCTAACATAAAACTTTTACCACCACCAGCCAGTCAGCCAGTCCACCCTCCACAAAACCCTGGAATAACTCTATGCAAATGACTCAGACATTTTGCAATTGATGCTGCTCGGGGGAATGGAAATGCAAGACTAGAGAAGAAGCTTAAACTTCTTTAAAATACGCAACAATTTAATGAATTGCAGCACAATTGTTCTGCTCATAAAGTTACCAATTAATATTGGCCATGTGGCGGCGACATGTAATGAAAACGCTCTCAGCTTAATTCCATCGAATCGGGCTTGGAAAGTCATTGGTCGCAGCCAAAATCATGTCTGGCATTAGCAGGAAAAACGACTGGCCTTATTCCGAAAATCTCCGATAATTTTATATAATCTACAAGCTCATACTTATATGTAGTATATTCCCCACAGACAACAAACAGAGCAGAACAGTACGCACTATGGCATTGACAATCTGCACTTGAGACGAGGTACTGAAAAAAATCATTACATATAAGGAAACGGGTGCTGTAAATGGAACCATAAATTCTTTATGAAATACAAATGAACTAATGTTTTTTTACAAATTAACTTTAATTAATAATTTAATTATGTAGAAAAACATGGGCATTTAAGCCTGTTCAATTTTATAGATTTGCATTTATATAAAATCCAAACTGATTTTTATATCCGACTAGACCACGATATTTCTAGCTTATAAAATGCCATGAGTAAATAAAAGTCCATGTTGATATCAGAATAATACCTTTCGGTAGTATTTTTTGCTGTGCAGTAGAGCTTATTGTGAGATTGTGGCTTTGGAACAATGTCTCACTGACTCAGTGACTGACTGAGAAAATGAGTGGGAAACTAGCTGGTGCAGGGTGAGGGTCGATGGGAAAGGGTTCATGACGAGACATTGGCATTGGCCGACAGTTGGCTGGGTACAAAGTATAAAACACAGAAAAAGAAACTTTTGCCATTCCCAGCACAAACACGGTGTGGGGAACTTTCAACATTTACTGCTTGGTGGCTGTTGTAACAAAGTTACAAGTAGCATTTGAAACTTGTCCTGCGAGCAGGGAGCTTCCTATTGCCGCTGTCCCCCATTGCGTATGAGTGATTTTTATGAGCATCTCTGCACGTCATGCGTGTTTGTTTGTTGTCTGCCCTGAGTTGTCCCCCCATTCCCTGTCTAGTGTTCTTTGGTGAGCCCGAGGGCAGACGCAATTATACGAACATGACAAGTGCAATTTGCCGGCGGCTCTTTTGCCCCTCAAGTTTTATCCTCTCTACCTCAGTTGTTCTCTCGATTTGGCTTCTAATTCCTGCCTTTTGTCTGTCTTTTGTTGTGTTCAGCCTAATCAAATTAAATCACTTAATTGCATAAATTAGCCCTCAGTCCGTAGTAGATGGAAAAATGTGAAAAATATAAACTTTTCACTTGAAAATACACTAGCATCTGTGACTTCGAGCGCAACATCCTTAAAAGGTCCCGATTTACCAAGAATTTTTTGATATTTGAGCTTTCATTGTTCACTGAACCGAGACTTCACCAATAAATTATGTTGGTATTTGCCCCTCACAAAGGTTTTAATAAAATTCTGGCTCAGTTAATTAAAATCCCGCCCGGAGCCGAGTGCAAAATCCGGGTCCTGACTGCCGTAATTAAGCTGTCTGCTCTGATTCCGACTGAGGAGATCTCACCTAAGTCATAACTCATAACTCATGTGGCCCTCGGGTCGAGGAGCCATGTGTCAGAATATTAGCTTTGAGATGTGCATATGACAAATCCGAAAACTTTCCATCCCAGATTTGTGCTCGTTTCGAGGCGTTCCGCTTCCTTCGCCAGCCGCAAAAGTTTGCGGATGCAGCATGCAAAGTAATCGAGGGCCTTAACCAGAGTTTCAGCTTTAAGTTGTTTGACTTTGGACAAAGGAAATCTTTTCACTCGCTGTTTGCTGCTCATTTTTCCCTCAGCTAATTGCGCGGTGTCCCAGAACGGAGCAGTGGAAAAGAAGAGCTGAGCCACTGGGCACACAGCGCAGCGGAACATCGGGCTGGGGCTGTGTAGGGGCAGGGGCAGGGGCATGAGCAGGGGCTGAGGGGGGATAATGTCATAAATCACCATGGATATATGCATAAATTATCGCTTGAGCTCTTCCAGCGACCAGAGGCCGAAGTCGATTCCGAGGAAAGGCGGACGCTGCGAAAGTTAAAAAACAAAGCTCACGATAAACGAAGCGACATTTAAGGATTTAACGAGAAAAAATCGCTGTCACGAGGACGCATCGTTTTAATCAGTGGAAGACAGTCACTGTACCGCCCCGTCCTTCGCTTTATTCAGCACCAGCCGTTGCACAGTGGTTTAATTCGTAATGTTTTATTTATAAGTCTCTTGTTTCATTACGGCTTTAATGATTCAACCAAGTATGTGATTTAAATTATTGGTATAATCAGAGCACTGATCGGTTATCAGAACAGGGCGGTAGTCCTTTTTAAATAATCATAATAGCTCAGCTCAACTTAGGTTCCGGTTCTGAGAGATTCCCCATCATTAATGACTGTACAGCACTCCAAAAATATATTTATATTAACTTCCCGATATTTAAAAAGACAATAAATTACAAGCTCCAGCAATTAAAAAACTTCTTAAAACAGAAAACTACCTTAAACTTAAATAAAACCATTTTTGTTCCCTTACATAAGTAATATTCAGTATTTAAGTAAGCTGGTATATGCAGTATTCGCATTATATGCAGACCTAATTCTTCCCGTATCAGTAACAAATAAATAAACTTAGCTTGTGAATACCTGATTAAGTCTAAGTGAACGGTAAGTGCATTACAAAGGTGTCTTGGAATTAAATTAATTACAATTATTCGGTAATTGTATGATTCGGCACACTGTCGTGCGGCACGTGCTCATGTCCAGCTGCCCAGGCTTCCCTTCGCCGAACGCGTTGTCTGCGTCTTCGACTCTGGAATGGTAGCAATATTTTGTCAGGCCAAAGTCAACAGCCGGCAGGCAGCAGACGCCAGGACCCGAAAGACAAAGCTCCTCCCGGCGGAACGGGGGGGAATTTACATTGGCGTTGCAAAGTATGCAACGCATATTTTTACATCACTTCTGTTTGCCTTTCTCCCAGAGCCACAGCTCGGCGGCCGGAGCACCCGAGAAGGGGGTTTTATACATTTAAATGTATTTATTTTTCCCGGAGCCAAAGGCAGACCGAGAGCCGCAGGACTCTCGAAGGCATGAATATGCCGGGAAAGGTTCGGGCAAAGGAAGTGCCGGAGGACTGGCGAACGGGGTGGTCGGTACCTTAAATTATTATATTGATAGCCCATGGAGGGAAAGAGCTAATCTGATAATCAAGTTAAGAATTTATTAGACTTAACACATTTGTGTTGAGTGTCAGGGAGACTTACTTTAAAGATACCATAATGCTTATAGTTATTATTTAATCGAAAGGAATGAATGCTTGGTACTACCAAATATAGACTTTAAAATTTATTTGGGGTCTTGATGGAATTTCTTGCATGATTAGATAGTAAGGCTACAAAGAATCCCGATTTATATGCACTTTTCGCTAAACTTCGGCAGTTGTCCGATCTGGACCCCAACCACATTTAGAATCTGCTGCGAGGCGAATATCCCGGTACGGATGCAATAGTCTAAGGGCATCCTCTGGACGAACATGGCCAGGAATCCACCGACGAAGGCGTCGCCGCAACCGTTGGTGTCGAAAACCGGGCCCCTGGTCACCTTGGGAACGGGGTACTCCAGAACGCGGTCGTTGTCCTGAAAGACGAGCACCGGACATACGGCATCCGTGATCATTACGAGGCGCGGGCGGACGTTCCCTTTGGGCATTTTCTGCAGCCGAGAGCCAATTTCGAAGATGTTCTTCGTCTTCCAATCGTTGGAGTCCGCAAATGCGATGGCCTCTTCCTTGTTGCAGATTATGATGTCCACATACTGGATAAGATTGGCCACTGCGTCGCGGTGCATCTGGAGCACGAACACAGCGCTGAAGTTGAGGATCGCAATTCGTTTGGACTCGCAGCACATTATCGCCACTCGTTCCACAACAGGACCGCAGACGGCCAGGAAAAAGCCCGTGAAGTAGAAGTACTTGGCGCGTTCCAGGGCGCAGGTGTTCTCCTCGTCATCTATCCAATCCTCTGTGAAGAGGGAGGCCGCACCCAAGTTGGCCACCAAGGAGCGGTTCTGGCCGTTAATGATTACCGCACAAGAGCCTGAGGAAGAGTTAGGGCATATAGACGTCGGAAGTCTGATTTATCGGAACAAATATTGTTGTTCTAGTTGGTTTAAATTCTATATTCCTCTATTTTGTTTGGCAGTTTATCTAAACAGTTTTATAAGGTGGAATGATATTTTACCTAAATATAATTAAGATTAAGTGCAACTGCTGAAAAAAGTTTTAGCGAAGATAGGCAAATGGTACTTTGGTCAATTAAATATATCTAATTTTTTTAAGTTCCAAGTCCGACCGCCGATATTCCTATCTCGCGCGCATAATAACTCTGCCGACATATGCACGAAGCAAATCACTCTCTCATTGTGTGTTATGTAATATATTGAGATCTTACCCGTTGGCAGTTCCTCCTTCACCTGGTAAAGTGCTAGCAGGCCATCGGCTCTGGCTCTCTTTTCGATGCGGTCGCCCAGTTTATCCTTGCCCACGCAGCCGCTGAAGACGGCTCGGAATGGAGTCTGCACGATCCACTGGAAGATCCGCATCGAGTTCTGACAGGCTCCGCCCGCCGAGTAGATGACGTTCTCCATGTTCATCAGTTCGTCGAACAGGGCGTCGTGCTTCTCCTCGGCTATGATCGCTGCATTGGCTTCCAGGCCGTACCTCTCCAGGATCACGTTATCCTCGACGGTGCAGGTGATGTCCAGCAGGGGATTGCCAAAGCCCATTAGAACTCCCTCCGGCAGTTCCATTTTCGCCGGTTTTTTGCAATCGCATAAACTCCTTAAAGAAGTCCGAAATCTCTGACCTAAATGTGCCTGTAGAAATGGAGTGATCGGGGCTTTTTGCAACAACGGAAACGATATTAGGCTTATGCTTAATATCCGTTTGGACATCCCTAAAACTAGCCCCGCGTCGATTCTTGAGAAGGCATAAATCCAAGGGATTTCACTCCACACCTATCTTTTGTTCATGCTGTTTAACTATTTTGTACTGCTTTTGTTTTGATTGATGTAACGAAATTTATGAGTGGAAGAGAACAGCCAGCCCCATCTCCACTCAGCTTGTTGAGGAGGGGCGAAATTTATTTCCCTTAGTGGCTTAAAATGTTAATTACCTGCATAAATCAATCAGGACAATTAATATTGTTGTGGCCCAATTTAATGTGCTATTAATTACGTATCCATCTTGTGGATGGAAGTATGTGTAATTGCTCTGCAATTACGATGGCCTGGCTGCGCCGAAAAGGGGGCGGCTTTGCCTGGCTTTTATTTTCATTTTTCTGCCGGAGATGAATGAATTGAATGTAAGTGGGCTTGACAAGCTGGCTGTGGGGCATAAGGGGGTGAATGCAGCCACCCAGAACGTGAATGTCCTTCCGCCGCCAAAAAAACATCACCAGTGGCGGCAGCAGAGGAGTGGGGGTTGAAAAACAATAGCATTTGCAGTGCTTTGCACAAGTTGCCTGGCATAAATTTTAATTTTTATGCAACACAAAAGCTGCAGAAGCAGCCCGAGCTTCCGACGCGCATTGAAGCCGCACAGGATGAGAAAGGAAAAATTAAGAAGTGAATGACGAATACCCTAGACAAAATAATGAAGGGCACTACATGTAAATCGTAACATTTAATGTAAAAGGCAGAATTTGAAATCAAAATACGCAAGCAATCATCTTTGCTTTGATCTAAAAGGATCTTCATCTTTTTATTCTTATATAACTTATGTTTTAGATTGGCCAAAAATAGCATTATAAATTATAATTTTTAAATTTTTCATTAATACATTTAATTTAATAGTCATCAGAAATTAGCAAAATATGAAAGCAATCATAATTCATCTTTGCTTTCACGTAAGTCAGCAAAAGTAAGTTTCTTTATGGCATTATTCTTATATAACTTATGTTGTAGAATAGAACATTCAAAACTAATTTTTAATAATTGAAGTAAAAATAAATATTAAAGACAATAAGAAAAAGTGTTAATAAAATGAAGATATTAAAAATGAAATTACTGTAATTGAGTTATATTTTATATAAAATACTATATATAGAAAGTGAAGTCTTTTCACATCGGATAGATATTAGTAGAAATCACCTTCGTTTTTTTGATATATTTATTTGGATATTTGTCGCCATAAAACTGTGAAATACCATCAACCCTGTACATTAATTCGTAGTAATTTTGAAAATAAATTGTGCTGGGAAAATGTGTTTTTAATTTCGCTTTCAGTTGGATGGCACACAGTATAGCATACTCTTTTGGGCAGGAAGAGCTGTGTGGTGGGTGGCGATGGCGAGGCGATGGCGATGGCGTCGTTTATCGCTCGCGAGCTCCGCAAAGTATGCAAGCGGTTTTTCACTTTGCTTCTGCTGTTGTTGTTTTTGTTGGCAGCACATAGCAGTAGTAGTTGTTGTTCTTATTGCTTTTGTTCGCTGGGTAAGTACTTACTTATGTGCCAGGGCATTATTCTTGGCTGTGTTCCTTTTGCTAAACCGCTGCCGCTTTTTCCTACAAGACCGGCAGTAGAAAAGCTTCAGCAGCAGTAGCGATGGCAGATGAGATGAAGATGAGAGGTGCGAGGTGCGATGGAGGATGTGGATCCGGAGGCGGAGGCGGAGGGGGAAACCGCAGCGGTGACGTGGCAATGCAGCTGCATAATGTGGCATGCGGTTTGCATTAAAAATGATATTGCAACACGAGCCGCACATCTGCAGCTGTGTGCAGCTAGGCGCCGCCTGCAGTCACTGACAGCCGCATGGCAATTATAATCCACACTCACATACACACTCAAGCCCACACTGCCGCAAGCATGCTCATCCCCGGCTTAAGTCAACACTGGAAAAAATACAACAAATTATCATAATATAATAATAACAACGAGGGCAATACAACAAGAAATATCACACTGTACATAACGATTATAATTCCATTTGACGAAATCAGAATTGGTAAATATATAAATTTATTCATTTAAGTCATATTGAATCCTATTTGGTACACCGAAAACAAATAGTTATACATAAAAGAGAGATTGCTGGGTAAAAAAGTATCAGAATTAATATTAATATTTGCAAGAAATCCAACTGATTATTTGATATCCTTGTTTGGTTGCCGTTATACCTGTTTTGATATGTAATGCATGTATACTTCTAAACTTATTTTCTCTGTGTATTAACAGCAGTGCGAGGGAATCTGGAGCTGGGCCATGTAAGCAGCAGCTGCCACTGACACACACATCAACATGACACCCTGTCGCTTGACAAAGCTTAGCTCAGAATCTGGAAGCTGGAAGCTGGGAGACGGCACCGCAAACCCAGACTGGTATACCCCTCCTCCCCATATCATTTTCCACACATCCAGGCACATTCACACGCTCGACATGTTGCTTTTTGGGGATGAGCCGAGGCGCAGGATGTCCGCTTCCTTTTTCGCCGCCTCTCACGTTGTTATCTAACAAGCTTTTTATGTGATTACCTTTAGCCTTCTGTTAGTTTTACTATAATTTGGCCTTTACGCTTAACGAGATTGTTGTGAGGTGCTGCTAGCCAAGAATAAGGAAACCGACCCGGAGAGAAGGGAGGGCAGCTGACCAGGTCCTGCATACAGGACACTCGCTCCATTGTAGTGCACTGTGCTGTTGTTCCTTTGCTTTCCTGGTACTCGGACCCAAACAATGGCACTCAAAGGGAGTAATGCGAATGGCGCCATGTCAATATGAGCCGTGGTGCGTTGTTAAGTGATAATCCCGTCCAGTGCCTCCGCTTCCTGTACCATTTCCACAGCTCAACAAACATTTATTCGTGCGTCTTGTGAACGCTTTTTTTAAAAATATAATAAGAAACATGAATTTGTCGACTCGAAGGGGATCTGGATCTACTGCACCCATCTTGGATCAGCTCACTATGCGCAGGGCAAGAACAAAAGTGGCCAAGGACAGCAGCAGGAGGTTGATGGAGAACCGAAAGATGAACAGGCAATTACACATGACTTCATTGCTGTTGTCCGACGAGGGGCCTCATCTATGTGTGTTTGGCGAGGGCAGCGCGTCCTCTTCCGATTCATTCTTTCGGCGTCTTGAACGGCATAACCGGCAGGTAAAATTGTTTCTAGTATGATTTGTATTTCAAAAACACCCAAGTCGCTACACAAAAAAACTAGATTGGTTTGACAGGTTAAGGATCGCTATCTCATAAAGATTTGTATATGTTGACAAGTAAGTAACTGGTAGATAGAAGCGGTAGAAGATGTACAGTGGCTCACAGCTTATTTGACCCACACCTAATTTTCAACATTAAACAGGTATAACTCCTGAACCATAAGAGATACCCATTAAAATAAAACGCAGAAAGGTTAACTGTTGTTTTAACTTCAAAAATATGTTTTAATTTATTAATTTTGCGAAGGAACTTCTTAATTAAACAATAAAAACTAAAAATACTGCCTTTTTCAACGTCACAGCTTATTTGACTCAGTTCATCAAATTAATTATAAAAAATTACAAAAAAAATATTTTTTTAACTTTTAGTATTTGGTATGTCCGCCCTTTTGGTCCACAACCGACTTCAGTCGATTGGGAATAGATTCGACCAATTTTGTTGTGGTTCCTGGGGTATTTTAGCCCATTCTTCGAGCAAAGCCGTCTTCAAGTCATTTTTATTGGAAATATTGCGCTCCCGAATTTTTGAGTCTCGCAAAGCCCACAAATTCTCAATAACATTAATATCGGGTGACTGAGCTGGCGATTTCAATATATGGTGATAATTATAACCCAGCCAATATTGAACTATAACCGACTTTTGCTTTGGGTCATTGTCTTGGTAAAACCGAAAACCCTGTTTTATTCCCAATTTCTCAGCACTTTGGAGTAAATTATCCTTAAGGATATTAAGATAAACATTTTTATTCATTTTGCTTTCAATAAATTTTAGGTTTCCGACTCCGGCTGCGAACTTACAGGCCCAAACCATAACGTGTCCGCCGTCATGCTTAACGGTGGGTTTTAGATGTTTGTCCTGCATCTCTGTATTGGCTTTACGCCATACGTAAGAACATCATTTGGACCCAAAAATATTACGTCATTTTCGCTGATGAGTCAAAATTAAATATTTTTGGTTCGAGGACGTTCTTAGCTATGGCGTAAAGCCAATACAGTCGGTGTCAAGATTTCAAGCGTCACGCATGCACAGAAGTTTAAGTTTTGTTTGTTAACTCATTAAAGTTAAAACCACAATATTTGTAATCGGATACCAAATAATAATAATCAATAAACATTATAATAATACATCACTTCGTCGTCTCAAGAGTTGTTTGCATCACTGCGGAATTCCTGGGTCCACATATATATTCGAGATATCTGTGCAGATTCTAGTTCTAGAGCCATATTTTGAAATTGGTTAACTGAATAACGACTATAGAGTTTACGGTAACACGAAATCGTAATGAGACCCTTCTCAGAAGCATACATTTAAATATTCCATTTGTTATTCAAATATAATTTAAGGTTTAGGACCGAAAAAAATGAAGGTCTTTTTAAAATTAAAATTGTAAAGTTAACTGCAACAAATTAAAAAGATTTTGTTCCTTTAACTTCAAAGGTTTTAAAATATTTTTGGGAAATAGAAGCCTTTTCAACGATTTTCATTGCCTACCCAAACTGTCAGAACTGACATTCTCACCCAATAATCAAAATTAGCTCAGTGTAACTTTTGCCTTGTGGTACACTGATCGGCAGTTGAAAATCACAAAAATTTATTTACTTTTTCAGTTATTTAAATCTACTTTTCTGGCATGTCCAACTACGCTCCGTTTATAAAACCGTACGTCCAGTACAACGAGCACGGCTGGGGTCCGTGCGAAGTGCCCGATTTGGACGTGCCCTACCAGCCGTTCTGCAAGAGTGATCGTCTGGGCAAGATCTGCGACTGGACGGTGGCGGTGCAGGAGAAAAAGTTCCCCAACAAGTATGCCTCGACCTTTGGCAACAACAGCCAGTATGCGTACTTCCACGAGGACGACGATGCCACCTTCCATTTGGTGGATAGCACCGGATCGAGGGCCTTCAAGCCCTTTCAGCGCGGTCGCTACCGCCCCAACATTCGCAACAATGTGCGGGTCAGGGGTCGCACGGGGCGTGGCAACGCCCTGCTGGGCCTGGCCGGAGGACATACGGCCGGGGGCGGGATGGGTAACAGCCCCAAGTACGGAAAGGGGCGCGAAACACGCCGGAATGTGGGTCGCAGGTTCGCCCGCAATGCGCCCACCAGACTCCGCGAAAGTTCCGCGATGGTGCGCTCCAATTGGGTTTCGGTCGAGGAGATCGACTTTCCACGCCTACTCAAGCTCACACTTCCGAACATCAAAGAGGGCCAGAACATTGTCACTTGCGGCTCCCTGGAATACTACGACAAGATGTACGATCGAGTCAACCTGCGGAATGAAAAGCCACTGCACAAGATGGACCGCATTGTGCACACCGTGACAACCACGGATGACCCCATCATCCGTCGCCTCTCCAAGACCATGGGCAATGTCTTCGCCACCGACGAGATCCTGGCCACCATTATGTGCTGCACTCGCTCGAACTACTCCTGGGATGTGGTCATCGAGAAGCTGGGAGTCAAGGTGTTCTTGGATAAAAGGGATAATGCCCAGTTCGATCTGCTCACCGTGAACGAGACTTCGCTGGAGCCGCCGATGGACGAGGCGGGTTCCATCAACTCGGCCCATAGCTTGGCCATGGAGGCCACATTCATCAACCACAATTTCAGTCAACAGGTAATTATAAACTGAAGTTACAGCGGGGGTTAGCGGCCATAGCTACTATGGCTTTATTTTATTTTAAGGTTCATATTAGCTTGACGGATATTTCAGGTTTTGTATTGATTGTATTATTAATGGATAAGTATTCTATTATTATAGTATGTGGCTTATATAAGTTTTTTTTAATGGAATTTGGGGTGGAAAGGAGGTGGATAATGTTCATAAATTAATAGTTAAAAATTTATTAAACTTTAGAAAAAAAAATTTTCCCTATCCGAATGCTTTAGAGCTTTAAAGTTGTACCGAACTGTGCATAGTACAAGTTTTCATACAATTATTTTTATATTTTCTTGTTCAGGTGCTTCGCATTGGTGACCAGGAGCCGCGCTACAAGTTCGAGGAGCCCAATCCTTTCGAAGAGCCGGGTGCGGATTTGGCCTCCGTGGGCTACCGCTACCGCAAGTGGGATCTGGGCAACGATATAGTGCTGATCGCCCGCTGCAAGCATAACGGGGTCATCCAGGGACCCAACGGGGAGCTGCAGTTCCTCTCGATCAAGGCGCTGAACGAGTGGGACTCGAAGGCGACGAATAGTGTGGAGTGGCGCCAGAAACTGGACACTCAGCGCGGTGCAGTCTTGGCCTCCGAGCTGCGCAACAATGCTTGCAAGCTGGCTCGCTGGACGGTGGAGGCTGTACTGGCTGGATCGGATCAGCTGAAACTGGGCTATGTGTCCAGGGTCAGTCCGCGGGATCACCTGCGCCACGTGATCCTGGGCACGCAGCAGTTCAAGCCGCAGGAGTTCGCCACGCAGATAAACCTGAACATGGACAACGCCTGGGGCATCCTGCGCTGCCTCATCGACATCGTGATGAAGCAGCCGGACGGAAAGTTCCTGCTCATGAAGGATCCCAACAAGCCGATGGTCCGGCTGTACGACATACCCGAAAACGCCTTCGACTCGGAAGTGGACGAGGAGGACGACTCCAGCGAGCCCTTCGGCAACTCTATCGATAACTAATGCTTACACAAATTCATTTAACTAATAGTTGTTCGAATAAAGGGGTCCGTTGACAGGCGACACATGCCGCACTGACAGATGCGCTGTGAACACAAATGCAATTTAAATTGAGTTTTTGACCGAGCCCGAACACATATGAGCGGAGCCATCACATGTCAGGGAACACGAGTTCGGGGCGAGTGCAGTCACAGTTATTTGAGGATAACATGGCCACATCAATCACTGCGGTTCCAAGAAATACAAAATGAAACCCGGCTAAATAAATATGCATTGCGCAGAGCATCCCCCGCCATTACCGACTGACAATCACAATAATTGAACGGGGGCGTCGCTGAGGGGCTAAGGGGCTGCGGGGGGGATTGTTTGGCTGACAAACCTCAGGTTCAATAAATCACCGAATACGGCATCAATCAATGCAAATTCTGCTGCTGTGGTGCTGCGCGTGTGACAATTTAAGCAAAATGTTTTCGTATTCAACAGCATTTAATTAAATTCATATATATGCTCAAAATTCATATGCATCCAACCTTTTTGTTATTCGGCAATTCAATTTGGGCATTCACTGAGCACAAAAGTGCAGAAATTATTCCCTAGCGGAAGTGCAAATCGTTCAACTAAATTACCAAAATGTTTTGCAAATTTCTGTTTTTGTTTTCAGTCGGCCAATTTCTTTTTGTTGTCCGCCAAATTGAGACCTATTCAATTTGCATGAAAAAGTTCGCACATCCTGGCCGAGAGGATGAGTAACCGAGTGAATGTGAACAAATTGTGTGAAAATATTTAGCAAATTCTCGTTAATGAAAATTGGTGCAGATTATTTTTAATTCCCTGCCCCTGGCGGTATTGCGGTGGGTAAATTTGATTGATAAAGTCAGGCTCATTAATAATTTATTTAACCGAGCACTTCACAGACTAACAATGCAGTACGTGAACCGACACATCAAGTATACGCACAGTTGGACAGTGAAGCACTTGAACTCGCCAGTAAGCAGCAGTGAAACACCAAAGTGTTATTCAATTAAAACATTTTGTTTGCTAAATCAACATGTGAGAGTCTGCACTCGGGTTGCAGGACCAACTTACGGAATGACTTTTGCGGAATGGTTTTTTAAAGCGTTTGCCGCAGAAAAGTTAGCTCCGGCTGGTTAGCTGCTCGAGTGGCTTCAGCAACCAACTACCATTCTCCAGCTACCAAAACGAGCTACCATCCACCAGCTTTAGCTACCAGCTTCAGCTTCTGGCCAGGACTGGTTGTATGGTTGTGTGTGCGGCATTTCAAGGTCTGCGCTTGGCTAACCACGCCGTTGAAAGGCGTTTAACAAACTGGCAGGCCAGGCTAGGGCACTTGCCAGCGGCAACAACTCCGAGCCCAGCTCAAGTGGGGCCTTAACGCAAAACTTTGTACATTTTATCGCATATGCAGGGCTGCGGGCCATTCCAGGGGAATAGGTGAGGCGGGTGGGGGGTGGAGGGAATGGTGGATGGTGGATGGCCAAGGCATTTGCATATGCAGCCACAAACACCGCCCGAGTGAAAAGTTAAGCGTTGAATGAGGGCGACAAATTGCAAATTAAACTCTTTTGCATTTTCCCAGCCCATCACATGAGGAATAGTTGTAAATAAAACTGCCACACCCGCGTCAACTTTTTCCACACCCCACCACCCGCTCCTGCGACCACGGGCCAAATTCAATTTCATTTCAATTTGCCCCACGCGCTTTTTCTGGGGAGGGAGCGTGGGGAAGCCGTCTGAGCCGCATTAGGAAAGCAAATGCGACTTAAAGTTGCCGCCAAAGCATTTGGCTTCGGGCCCTCTAGCCGTTTAAGCAACGGATTTGCCATCTTTGGACATTAGTTGGGGTCACGGGGGCCGGGATTTCGGGGCGGAGTGAAGAGTTTAGGAATGTTTGTAAGCCAAAAGTTTTGTGTTCTTTTGGCCGGCTCGGATTTCGCCTTTGCCTTTTGGCATATTTAATTTGCCGACTTGTGCCAGTTTTTCTTTTCTTTTCGAGGATCCTGTCAATTTTGTGACATTTGCTTTGGGCACCATTCACATTCACCGTTAACTTTTCAAATGCAGCTCATTTAAATATCATTTGTCAGGGGAAAAGTTTGCCCTGAGTCAGTTAATCGAGGATAAAGCTCCGGGCTCAAATAAGGTTTTATTTTTACAAACTCGGTTGGATAAATCTTGAAAAACTGTTTCTAACCCCAAGCTAATTCATGTTTTCTGCAAGTCTTTTGCTTTGCTTAAATATGTTAACTTTAGCTGTATTTTTATACCATTGCAGAGGGTATTATAATTTTGGTCAAAAAGGAAGGAGACATTTCCGACCCTATATAGTATATATATTCTTGATCAGGATCGCGTCCTGAGTTGATATAAGCATGTCCGTCTGTCCGTCTGTCTGTTTCTACGCGGACTAGTCTCTCAGTTCTAAAGATATCGAATTGAAACTTTGCACACACCCTTCGTTTTTTTGCACGTAGTATATAAGTCGGGACGGCCAGGATCAGCCGACTATATCCTATAGCCGCCATATAACTGATTGATCGGAAATGCTATAACTTTGGTGTTTGTTAAGTTAGGAAGTTGTGATTTTGTATGGGTTTTATTTTTGACCAATCAATCCGACCTACCAAAGGATTCATAAGGATCGGCCGACTTTATCCTATAGCTGCCATATAACTGAACGATTGAAAATGCCATAATTTTGGTGTTTTTAAAATTAGGAAGTTGGGATTTTTTATGAGTATGAAGAATTATTCATATGATTAATTTTGGAAAATATATTTTTCAGGACATTTTGCAAGGGTATATCAACTTCGGCTCCGCCCGAAGTTAGCTTTCCTTTCTTGTTATAAAAACATATCGACTCAGTCTTAAATCATCAATTGCTCTCTACAGTCGCCATGCGCTCCAATCTATTTTCAATTCTTATCATCAATATATTAATCTTTATAAATGCTGAAAAAGTGTGTGAGCTATCATCGATTTGCGGCAATGCGGCATCCATAAGATCTCAGATGATTGCAGTGCGGTTGGAACTTTTCATTGATAAATATATTGTAAATGAATTACCTGACTAATATTATTTTAGTGTGGAGCAGGAGAGACATGGAGAGCTTTTGGATGACTTAACCCAAAAACTGGACAGTTGCATATCAAAAATTGGGGTGGACACAAAACTGTACGGAAAGAGTTGCGCCGAACCTTCGGCGCTCACTCAGCACAGTGAAATTAATGTGATCGTGGTTCCCGAGTACAGTAAGTTCCCCTTTGTGGTGGCCTGCGATCAGTTGAGTCTTGGTGGCGGATGGACCGTCATTTTACGTCGTACGGATGGAAGTGAGGATTTCTACCGAGACTGGAACGACTATAAAAACGGTTTTGGAAAGTTGGAGAATGAGTTTTTCCTGGGACTTGATAAGCTCCATGCCATAACTTCTTCGCAGACCCAGGAACTATTGGTTTTGCTCGAGGATAATGAGGGAGACCGGCGATACCAGACATACGATAACTTCAGAATCGGCTCGGAACAGGATGGTTTCGCCCTTGAATCGTTGGGTAATACTTCGGGTAACGCTGGCGATGCCATGGCATTACATTTGGGTTCAAAGTTCAGCACCAAAGATCGCGACAACGACAACTATGGTACAATGCACTGTGCCACAACATACAGCGGTGCTTGGTGGTACAATGCCTGTCACGACAGGTAAAGATTTGTATATATGTTTTATAAATTTAACTTATACTTTTTCTCTAGCCACTTGACTGGCAAATATGGCGATAACAGCTATGCAAAGGGCATCAACTGGGTTCAGTTTAAGGGTCACAACTACTCGCTAAAACGTGCACAAATGTTGATAAGGCCGAAGAAGCAATGCCATTAAAAATTATACGAAATATATGTCAAACCAAATTAAAAACATCTTGATAAGTTTATTTTCTAGACTTCAACAGCGTACAATTTGTTGATTGTTATACAAATACCAATTAGCCTACCTAAACTAATTAGACGTTGTAGTCTATAAAGAAAAACGGAAAACTCAGATAACGAGACATCTGGTGTACACTCGTATATAATATTGATTAGCGCCATCAGACGGATCGAGTTTATATGTCTTTCTTGAATTTTATAATACCCTTGCAGAGGGAATTATCATTTCGGTCAAAAGTGTGCAACGCCGTGAAGGACCCTAAAAAGTATATATAATATGTTCTTAATCAGGATCGCGCCCTGAGTTGATATAAGCATGTCCCTCTGTCCGTCTGTCTGTTTCTACGCGAACTAGTCTCTCAGTTATCGAATTCAAACTTTGCACACACCCTTCGTTCCTTTGCACACAGTTCCTACTTAGGAACGGCCATATAACTGATTGATCGGAAATGCCATAACTTTGGTGTTTGTAAAGTTAGGAAGCCAATCAATGCGACCTACCAAATTTCATAAGGATCGGCCGACTATATCCTATAGCTGCTATATAACTGAACAATTGGAAATGCCTTAATTTTGGTGTTCTTAAAGTCAGGAAGTTGGGATTTTTTACATAATTTACAGAATATTCTGCAAGGGTATATCAACTTCGGCTCAGCCCGAAGTTAGCTCTCCTTTCTTGTTAGAACATATCATATCAATGTCATATCAAGCATTTAATCCTAAAGATAATTTTTAAACTATATAAGATTTTAATCTGTTTGAATTTCAAGCCTTTAATATAATTTACTTTTTCATTTAAAGATTACATTTTTAAAAATTGTCCCCTTCTCAGCAGCACTGATTGATGGCCTTGGTCTACTTTTACTAAGGCAAGTTCGTGAAACTTTTTTAGTCGAGTTTTCCCAATTTAATATACTTAAATTACCTTTTCTGTATTGTATACGCACGACTAGACAGAGACGAGCGGATACTGTTGTGACCAACGAAATGAGAATTGTTATCAATGCCACAAACACCTCCATCAAAAACAAGAGACCCAAAAGCAACGAAAACAAATTTCAGCGTCTCCCAACAAATCTGCAACAATAGTGATAATTTTTTCCACTTCTTCGGCTCGTTTCGCAACGAGTTCTGTTCGGGCAGAAGTTTGTGCAAACATTTTGACAA